TAAAGTGTTAGCTGCACTAGACTGAAGTCCTGAGTTTGGATCCCTAGCACCCAAGCAAAACTCAGCAAGGCAGTGTGTTCCTTCCCAGTGTTTCTAGCACCGGGGAGGCACAGACAGGAAGATCACTGGGGCTTGTTGGCCAGCTAGCTAGTCTTGTCAGTGGTGAGCTCCAGGTTCACCGAGAGATCCTGTCTGAAAAATAAGGTGGAAAGCAATAGAGGGAAGTATCTGTCTGACAAGATATCCACAATAGTGTAATAGTGGCACTGTTATCTCAGGAGTAACCAACAGCTGTCTAATTGGACATGTGGCCCACTCAACAGGAGAGTCTTCCTGTCTGATACTGTAAACCTAACCAGCTACTCATGACTGGTGAGGCCATTGACCAGAGAAGACCTACTACTGCCAGTTTCTTAAACTAATATAATTTCTTACCATTCTCTAAGTACCAGTCCATATACCCACAGGTAAGTGTAGCTTTCACTCACTCCTCATCAAGCAAGCTTCTTTTTGCAAAAGATGGAGACAATTACAAAGATCTGCAACTGGTGAAAATTCAGAGTAAAAGAGACTATGGGGTGCCCAGCCTGAACTGATAACATCTGCATCAAAAACCCTATACACAAGGCTCAATGAAAATCACAGAAGAGGGAACAGAAAGGCCACTATTAGATAGTATCCCCTAGACGTGATAAAGAAAATGTACCCATAACTCTCAAGCATGGACAAGACTGACATAATGACAATGGCAGTTGATATGCCAACACAGTCAAATTCCACATGGCCCCAACCCTAGATGAAAGGCTTCAGGTAGTCAGTGACCTCTGAGTGATGGAGAATCGTTTATTCCAGGCATGAGCTCCCACACGGGATGTCTAATCCCAAGTGGTTAGCCCTAGTACATACATAGGAGCAAAGATAAAACCACTCAATAGGTTATGTATGTACTATGCATATGCACATACTATGCATATATATAACTCAATAAAAGTAAGAGATCATGAGTTGGGGGAGGGGTCAGGAGTGGAGATGGATGGGAAGTGGGTATGATGTAGCCGTGTTCATGTATAAAATCTAAACAAAAACAAAACTCCCAAATCCCACCTATGACATAAAAAAAATTATTGTCTGTGAAACTTGTGTGTGTGGCCCTTAGATCTGCAGCAGGTATAAGGATTAGAGCATAAAAAGTATCAGACAGTAAGCTGGGTACTGTCTCACCTTCCTTCTATACACACACACACACACACACACACACACACACACACACACACGATCACCTTAAAACTTCTAGTCTGTAAGTATATGCCTATATGTATACCTTATATTTTATACAAGGCTAAAAGACTTTAAAGGGACATCCTACTGCTGTATATGAGTTAAATGGTAGATGTGATGCAATCAAGTATGGCTTTCAGGGACGTATTATCTTTCCTTTGTTTGTTTGGTTTGGTTTGGTTTTTGAGACAATTTCTTTGTGTAGGTTTGGCTGTCCAGGAACTCACTCTGTAGATCAGGCTGGCCTTAAACTTACTGAGATCCGTGTGCCTCTGCCTCCCTAGGGCTGGGATTAAATGCATGCACCACCACTGCCCAAGAGATTATTTCCTAAATTGATCATTTTATTGCTTCAACTTGGTCTCGGTAACTTGGTGAAAAATAAACAACTAAGGAATGCCAGTAAAAATTAGCTATTAGTATTGACCTTTCACTCAAGTATTTACTGGACATTCTAATAATAGGGACTTTGGTAAGCACTAGGGACATGAAACCAACAGACAGGCCTACTCGTGGAGAGGTCAGAGGACATTTTGGGGAGGTGGTTCTCTTCTTCACTCTACATCTCTGAGGAATGACATATTCAGGCCTTTGCCCACCGAGTCATCTAACAGGCTCCTGTTGTTTTTCAATAGTAAAACCACTGAGCCTTGGCCTCGTTTTGTGTTCTGTGCCCCAACCTCCTTCATCCCTCTAGCATTTGCTATGATCATGATGACCTGAAATGTGTGTTACAGGGCCATTAGCAACCACAGCAAAGACCACATTTTAGTCCCTGGGTTTGGCTCTCTAAAAACTGTGTTTGATGTACACCTTGAGAATGCATAATTGCATGTGTGCAGGTTTAAAGAGTAACATGTTGCAGATTGAAGCAATACAATCCTGACAGCCAAAGGATAAGGCAGAGGGTGACCTTTACATAAGACAGCTTCCGAGGAAAATGATAAATGTCTACAACATCTAATTCTTTAAGGAGTAAAGCTTCCTGGGCTACAGGAAGCTTGGTAGAGAAACATCCATAGGATGGCCCCAGGACTGGCTCCTTAATATTGCTGGGAAGCACCAACTCAAGAGAAAGCAAAGAGCATGGGCCTCTCCTTTCCTCTTAGAACCCAAATAACCACTGGAGTAATGTGAAACAAAGGCACCCGAGGCTGTATGGAAGAAAGTTCCTTAACAGCTTTTCCAGACCATGGAAAAGGACCACTGCATCTAAGAAAAGTAATAGAAAAGTAATTACAGTAACCTGTACTATACAAAGGGCCTACACACACACACACACACACACACACACACACACACACAATCACACACACACACAATCACACACAATTTATTGAGTACTTTCCTGGCACTATCCTAAATACCAGAGGATCAGAGGTCAGTCAGGTCTCCTTAGAACCTCACATTTGTAAGAAGTTGTTGAAACAGATACCTTCATCAGAACTTAGTAACTGATATCTGCATATGATGGCAAGGTAGAAAGGCACAGAGGGGACAAGAGTATCTCTTCCAAAATAACATCAAGAATTCAAGGATAACCCTATTTTTTCTTTTCAAGACTTACTTATTAGTGTTCTATCTGCATGTGTGCCTGCCTGCCTTAGGAGGTTGCTGGGTTGCTGGGAATTGAACTCCAGACCTCTGAAAGAACAGTCAGTGCTCTTAACCTCTGAGCCATCTCTCCAGCCCTGGGTAATCCTATTTTCATTGACGGTTACCATAAAAGACGACCCAAGAATAGATAAAGGCATGAAGAGTCTTTATGAAAACCTATACAGTCTATACAGAATTCCTAAGATTATTGGAACAAATATGCATCGAGCTATCCAGGCATGGTGGTGCATACCTATAATCCTAGGCACTTGGGAAGTTGAGGCAAAAGAATTGGCAGTTTGAGTCTAGGCTGAGCATTACAGTCAAACCCTACCTCAAAAGATGAGAGGGCCAGAGATATGGCTTAGAAGTTGAGCACTGGCTGCTCTTCAGGAGAACCTAGATTCAGTTCCACTACCCACATGGCAGCTCACAACCAGTTCCTAGGGATCCAGCACCCTCTTCTGACCTCTGTGCAAACCAGGTACACACACGGTGCATAGACATACATGCAGGTAAAATACCTATAAATATAAAATAATAAATCTAATAGAGCTATATATTTAAAGGAGAAGATAGGGAGACAGGGGAAGGGAAGGAGGAAGTGAATATGCATGGAGCTAAAAAGGGAAATTGTGAAAGAAATGAAATTACCTATTCATAGATGATGTAATCAAAAATACAGAAAACCTTAAGGATTACACATGTACAAAAGAATTCAACAAAATGACAAAACAGAACATTATCAAACAAAAATCAATGTTTTATACTTCAATAATATAAATAAAAGTCCATTATAATAGCATGAAATGAATAAAACATGAGCCCATGAGCCAAAAGGGTCTGTAAAACAGAACCAAGAAAATGATGCTGAAATAGATGGGAAGACATCCCATGTTCATGAATAAGATTTACTACTGCCGAGATATCAACACTATCCAAGGTAATACACAGATTCAATGCAACCTATCAAAATCCAACTTTTCCTTTTCAGAAACAGGAAAGTCTTACATTCACATGCGACTTCACAAGACTGTCAAAATCCCATGCTGAGATCGGAAGACAGCTGCACGACTTGGTTCTCCCCTTCCACCATGTAGATTTTTGAGGGCCAAATTCAGGTCACCAAACTTGGTGGCAAGCACCCTTATCTGTGGAGCCATTTCCCCAGTCCAAATAACACTATGAAAGGACAGCTCTGGAAGGAAAGGCCTGACAAAGCCGGGCATTGCTGATGGATCTCTGTGAGTTTAGCTCTCACAGAATTCTGGCCCTATCTGTAGTTTCTGTGACCAGGACATGGCATCTGGAACATTCTTGCAGAGGCAGAGTTCTGCAGTCTAGTCTGTAGGCTATCTCTGACTGTGTGTTTCGTGGTTAACTGTCGAGTTCACGTTCATCAGTGTAGCTTTTCCAAACACATCTGCGTGCTGTCCCTCCTTCACTCTTCCCATTGCTGGTCCCCCATTGTCATTTTCTCCTTAAGAAAGTTCACCTTAGCTGACCAGAGTGGCCAATGCTGCTGGGGGAGGGAGGTGTCATTTGTTTTAGGAAAATCCAGAGACCCCCTACGTGTAAACTCCATGGAATGAAGGGACAGAAGCAAACACTGTATTCTACACATTGCCCTGAACAAGCACATCAGAGGATATGATGCTAGACTCCAGCATATAATCTACTCTCACAGCGAAGTACATAATCTAGTAGGCAAGTTGAGAGGGTTCAGGATAGTGGTCCCCAGCCCTGTTTATCAGAATCACCCGTGTGGATCCCACACCTAAGATTTCCACTTACCTAAGTTGGAGGCAGCAGACAGCCACCAATATGCTTAGATTCTCTTTTGGGGACAAGATTGAGCAATCAGGGATGACAACATTGGCCTAAAATCTAGCTAATCTGGCGAATCAATCCAGCACAGAACAAGAGCTAACCATGGAGTCAGTTTGTAGAAAATGCTGGAAACAAATAATTGAGAGTAGTATTACTGTAGTTGCATGGCCTGGGACAGAAAAAAAAAGTGGCAGATGTATCCTGCAGTGGCTCCTGCTTTGTCATGACAATTCCTATTCCTCAGGTTCTGCTAATACCTTGGCTTCTGACGACAGAATCGGCAAATAATACAGACATTACTGTTGTATAGTGCTTTTATTAGAGTTTTATGGAAAAAGCAAACCCATTTTTGTGACATTATACAGTCTTCAGGCATGCCACAGCCCAGTGTGAGATGCTGTAGCAGCTCTGCGTGGCAGCATCGAAGGCCACAGAGAGCACCGGTCAAGAGACTCAGGCATACATACCTGTCATCAAATTAAATCAGCCCTGTTTCACAACAGGCTCTAGAGTGTAAACAACCAACACCTGCCAATCAAAGGCATCTCAGATAGGACACCGTACAGAATTTAGGGCAAATTAACCTAAAATGGTAAGCTGGGGATGGTGCTCCTCAGAGGGGAACAGAAGACAGTCAACACCTGATCCAACTCTTACTGCAGGAGCCCCTCACTATGGAATCCCTAACATTTAGTATTTCGCACCAATCTTCATGCAAAGGTGCTGTGCCACACACAGTTCCAATAACTCCAACTGAGACTAAGTATTTTTATTGTCAATGAGGCTTGCTTGCTTCAGAGCAATAGTGAGAAATACTGAGACCAAGTCCAGCCTAGACTCCAGAGGGAGCGGATTCTACAAGCAGCAGACTTATTTTCTTCTTTCCTATAATTGAAAAAGACTTGGCTTTTTATCCCAAACACGTAAGTTCACTGCAGAAGTTAGTCCTTCATTCTCCAGCTGTGACTGTCACCTAAAGACTGACAAATGTCTAGACCTGTAGAGTTCGGAAAGACACTTACTCCTGCCAGGCCCCCTGTGAGTAATGGGGTCTACAGCCCAACAGAAGATGGCAGGAACTTGGTTTTGAGGCTGAGTCATAGTAGGAACAAAATCCTCATCTGCTCTTATGCCCCAAATCACAAGAAGGCGAGGACAAAGCATCTGAGAACAGTGTGAAACACAAACTCTCATACACGGGGACTACTGCTTATTGTTTTGAGGTCAAACATTTAAAAGTCCCATCCCCCCACTTCACATCACTTCACTTAAGAGGCATGCATGGAATACTGACACCTTTCAAAAGATACATGTAAGATCTATTAGAACTGCAAGCAACCAAAACCAACAGGAGTGGCTCATGGTTCCTCTCAGAAACCCAGATTCCTCCTTTATACTTCATACTTGAGAAGCTCGTGCTCCTGAAGCTAGGTGTGCCCTTTAGGGGCGTTGCCAACAGTGGCTAAATCAAGTCCAGGTTGACAGGAAGCCATGAAAGTTCTTCACACTGTTGGAAGTCAGACTTTTAGGCAATGGTAGACTTGACACCCTGGTGTACTTGTCTTACTGATACACGAAGTCAAACAGAATGCAGGGGAAAGGTAGTGGGCAGGTAGAGGCCGAGAGAAGGTATTTTACAGGCTGCTAAGTTTTCTGTACAATGAAATCCAAGGACCAGGTTCCATCTGGCTTTAATTTTCTTCTTTTAAAGAGGCTGTTTTCAGTTCCTTCAGTTTCCTGGTGCCAATCTTCAGGTCACTCTCATTGCCTCACAGCCCTCAAGCTGTATCACAGGTGTAAGAGGTAGCCTCCTTAAGGGGTATTTTACTCTACCAACTTGACTGCAAAATTCCCATAGGTGAAGAAAAAATGGACATTTTAAAAAGACTGAGGTGTTTGTTTTTGACTTATTTCCAGACTCTACCAACCCTTTTAGTGTAGAAAACAAACTGTCCCTTAAAGTAACTAATGGAAAAGCAGTACCCTCTTCAGTGAACTTCACAACTGTTCTCTGGCAAGAGTGACAGAGCTCCCCAGGGTCAGGTACCAGCAGGACAGAGGCGGCACTGGAGTCACCAGCCAGGCCCCCTCACCCCACTCCCTCCACACCAGCTAGAATTTCAAGTTTGGCTGGGGATGACTTGAGAACTAGGGACTGTCATTCCAAATGAGAAGGACCTGAAGGTCACCAGTACCCACAGCCACACCTGATTCACAGAGCCTCAGCCTGAGACTGAAGACGGCTTCCCTACTCTTCTACTGCTCCACCCGTGTGGCATAAAAGTTTAATCCACAAACACACAGATGATTCCAGCTCATATGTTAGCAAGTGCAGATACAACAGAAGCCACTGTGTAACAATCCAAACTATGAATCCTCCTCCGCGGCCTGCTTCTAAATGGGCACTGGGAAAACAAAACAAAACAAAACCTAACAGCCTTTCAGTAATCCGAAGAGCCTCTGAGTTGGTAATGACAGGAGTAGACTTTAGTTTCCAAAATGGCACACTACCCAGAAATCCGATTGCACAGGAAAGGTTCTCCACAAAAGAGGAGGGGGACGTGTTCTGGGATGGGGGAAGCAGTACTCACCCCACCATTACCTAACCAAGGCATTTAACAAATCTGTATTCCTTGTGAAACAGCCCCACACCTGCCTGCTTCACACTTGTGACAACTGAGGTCTCAGGATCCAAAGAGGATGGCTGCGCCAATGTGGGAAAGTCAGGAGGTAGCTAAAAACTGACCTGCATGTCCCTCTCAACGTGGTTGGCTCATCTTAGCAGACATGATGTCTCTCAATCATGAATAGCATTTAATGCCTGACTTGCATTTATCTGTAAAATGGAAGTGTCAAGATACTTGGAGAAAATATCTTTGAATCCTGAGTGGGTCGAATACTTTTCAGTCAGTGGTAACCAGTGACCCACTCCACTGTCAAACATTTAAAAGAAAGAGACAAAAGAAAAAACATGTTAATACTTGGTTATGAACAGCAGGGGTAGTTCCTCACCTTACACATCTTTAAAGGGCAATCTAGAATGTGCATCTATGAGCCTGCACGAACTCAGGTCAAAAGGAGTGCTTGGGTAATTAATGAGGTATACATGATTGGCCATATTAACCCAAGACTGTAGAATTCCCTAGACTGGAGAAGAACCTCTAAAGAACCTCTGGTCAAAAGCCTGAGATGCTTTAATAGCTGTTGAAACTGATGGATTTTTTAATTAAAGAAAAGCATAGGTATGTAAAACTCTTTCAGGGATGAAAGATATGGAAGGCTCCCTAATTCCATGTGACAAACTGCCTGCTCTGATGAAGAATGGCTGGAAACACGGCCAAGCCCGGTAGAAGCCAGAGAGCATGTGGCCTACAGCAATCAATATACAGGACCAGACAGAAACTCAAAGAGGCATTTCTCTTGATACTGAGCCACTGTTTGTCTTTAGACGTTAAAATAAGTTGTAATAAAGTGTGCTGAGTCCATGCTGGGCTAAAAAAAAGGAGACCCTGGCACCTCCAGTCTCCAAGGTGAGTCTAATCCCACACAACTTTTCAAAGGGGTTTCTCACCTTACTGGGTCTCGTGTGAGATCTGAGGGAAACTACTAAACAGGGTACATAAAACCAGAAGAGTTCTTGTGGAGCATCTAGTGTCATATAAAAACACTGCAGATTGTGTCACATACCATGAAATACAGAATCAGTCCATGCAAGAAAAGCCACCCTGCAAAGAGGCAGCTGTAAGTAGGGCAGCAGCCTGGCACACTGCTGACCCTTTGACACCAGGGTATAGTGGCAGAACCTCTGCCTGACAGGGGTCCGAGGAGTTTGTTATTCTTTCACTTTAGGAAAAGAAGCTTCTGGTATACTCATTCCTGTGGCCAAAGCCTCCCTCTCAGGCCTAGCCTTGGCGATTTCCCACAGGCAGAGAACCTAGATAGCTGGGCTAGGAGGCTTCCAGTAACCTTCCCTTCATATGCATATATATGGTTTTGTTTTTCTTAAAATAAATTCCACAAACTCCTAAAGCTCTCATCTGCAATCAAATGCAAAAGCAGAGCCCCTTACTCAGAGGCTCTGAAACACACAGATCAGCCTCAACACAAACCAGCCTTCCAGCCTCAGAGAAGACTGGGTCAGTTCAAAGGCAAGGCAGATGCTTCTCCAGAATCCTTGAGGCAAGGAGTGATGTCCTCTTCAAATGGGCTTATAGAGCAGCGTGGTGACATACTTCTTCTTGTAGCGATGGGTTGCACTAAGGACCATCACACTGTCCTGCAGGGGAGAAAAGAACACACAGCTACATCATCCATTTGGGTGGCTACTGGGCCTTCCCAGCCACCTGTCTTTCAGACACTCACTGTCTTGCTAAAATACTCCAATGAAAACAATTTAATGGAGGAAAGGGTTATTTTGGCTCACAGCTCTGGACTGTAGTCCATCATTCCAGGGAAGCCAAGGCATCAGGAAATTGAAGCAGCTGACACATTGCACGTTTGTGTTAAGCATGTTTTCTCCTACTTAATCCAGCTGAGGACACCCTGCCCATTGAATGGCCTGTCCACAATTAAGATGGCTTCATATACCAATTACTGTATTCAATATAATTCCCCATAGGTATACCAGACTCACACCTCAGGTTGTCTAAATTTTTCAAATTGACAACACGAACCAACACATTTACTTCTCAAGAGACAGTTTGAAATAAAAGAAAGAGGCTGGCTTTGCTGTCAAATCTTATTCAATTCCTGTCTCCTGTTGATGTGGTATTGATTGGTAGCCTTGAGATATCTATGTATGATCTCTATGCTCTGCCACCCCCCCTTAAAACTTCTTCATACAAAGAATAATGGCTACCCTTGAAGTGGTTCTGATTACCAGATCAGATGAAATATCTGATACATAGAAGGTCATAAAGAAACACTAATTTACACTTTTATTATTCCCCTTCTTATTTCAAATTATATTGGGCTTCTGCCTAGCAAGGAAAAAAGATGCTTTCAACCATTCCCAGAACAAAATATTAAATGTAGTAAGGAAGGGAAATGATCCTTCTTAACGCTCATTCCTAAGGCCTGAAGCAGGTTCAAGTGCTACTTAATGCCAAGGATAAAGTTCAAATGTCCATCCCCTGTGACCCAGAGAGCACTGTGGGAGTTCCTATCTATCGTTAAAGTACAGATGCTTCCTTAGACAGCTCATCTGACAGGCCAATTCCAAATGGCCAAACAAGCTGAGAACCCAAGGGGAGCTGAACAGGCAGCACTGTCCCTTGTATCACAAGCAGTACAAGGCAGCACAGTCACCAGTCTCCAGGGTGTATGAGATGGCCAGGGACACCAACTGACAGCCATGGAGCAGTCACAGCAGGCAAAACTCAACCAGATCTCAAAGAACCCCAACTGTCCAACATCGAGACCAGTGCAGCTAGCTGTCTTCCTTTACCCTGCATTACCTACAATGACCGTGTCTGGGACTAACACTCTGGCTGGACTGTGCTGAGATAGCCTGACAAGGTGAGAGCAGGCAGGAATACTCTGCTCCTCGAGAACTGCAGATTTGCAGCAGGTGAAAGACAAGCATCCAGGAGAACACCTTCGTGGTGATGGACAGGAAAGAGCAGGGGGCGGGGCTTAAAAGGATTGAAACCCAGTCTGTCTTGTACTTACTGGCAATCTGACCTTCTCTGAGTCTTAGTTTCTTTATCTATCAAACAGGGGTTAAAAATAATGCTTACTTCTCAAGGTTACTATGAAAATAAAATTCAGTATGTTAAAATTTTATATACACCCACACACTCTATTATAGTCAGCTCTATCAGTGGCCTCCTTGTTCTGTTCTCGATGCACATCTAAGAAACCTGAGCAGCTTCCAGAGAAATGGCTGGGAGGACCCCTAGGTGCTCAAACATACTCAGACTCCGGGAGGGGACCTCTCAATCTGCTGCTCACCAAATGGTCCATGTAGTTCCCTCGAGGACTGGCTTAATCAGCCACAGAACTACATACCTTTATGCTAACACTCAAGCCACAAAGACATTAAAGAAACTAAGGACTCTAGGGCAGGGGTGGGAAAGACACAGACATCTGGTCACATCAACTCCCTATCTACTATACAAGAGATGGAAACACTTGGTATACACAAGTAGGACATCTCAATGTAGCTGATTCCACATCTTAAGAAATTCTACTATCTCACTCAAGCACTTGTTGAAGGAAGCTATACTTGATTTTCTGCACATGGAATCTAACTAACATGAACTCCAACTTTAGTTGCAAAGGTTCCAGCCACCTATAAACACTCGAAAGCAGAAAGGTCCCTATCACTGACAGTTCAGCTAGCCTGAATACAGCCCAGAACCAAACCAAACCAAACCAAACCAAACCAAACCAAACCAAACCAAACCAAACCAAATTGTTCAGCGGGCGGTGGTGACACATGCCTTTAATCCCAGCACTTGGGAGGCAGAGACAGGTGAATCTCAGTGAGTTCAAGGCCGGCTTGGTCTACAAAGAAAGTTCCAGGACAGCTAGAGCTATTATACAGAAAAACCCTGTCTCGGGGTGGGGGAGCTTCAAAGAAGACTGAAGTTTAAAATCAAATAGCCTTCGAGGTAAGAAAAGACAACTCTTCTGTAACTTGACTGTCAGTGCCAACTGCAGCTTTAAAAGCTGCAGCAGGCAAGTTACCACTGAGAAGCCTGCATGACTCTTACCCTTCCACTTGAGAGGCTCTGGAACGTCAGGGCCACCACTTACCTTAATGGACAGTGCATAGAGATGGTTCAGCATAACATGGTTGGGTTCAGGAAGTAAGGCTGGGTCACACTAGGAGAAAAAACAACCCCCACCCCCGCAAATGTGATTAAATGAAGACAAAGCAACATTGACTGTTCCTCTGGACTGTTAAGAACTCTAAATAGGTAACACTTTGTCTCCTATGAATCATGCATTCCCAGACCATAAAATTTGGAAAAATCCTCAGTCTAGAGATAAAATGCTAAGCCCCAATATATGCTAATTTTCCTTAATATAATTAAAACAAAAACCTTGCTAACAAGTATAGATAGTTTGGGTAAAAGGGCAGAAATAACTATCAACTAAGTAAAATAGAAATATAATTTATTTACATAAAAAGTTGTGAATTTTTGTATTTCCCCTAGTGAGGGGGCACTTTCGATAGACGTCACAGTAGTCATTGATTCCACCACAGTTTGGTTCTGATTTTACTAGATTTTACTTTAGGTACTACTGGTACCTAAAGAAGTCACGGTTCAGTCTTGGAAAAAGGATTCCACAGTGCTGCTGACAGGCACGTGGCTTAGTTTATTGCCTTGACACAGCTGTCCTATCCAACCCCAAGATTCCTGAAGTTTGGCCTCAATGGGCCTAAGATCCCCAGATGTTTTAGCAACCTGCTCAGGATACTCACTGAAATATTAGTGTCCTTGTTAAGAATAACTTGGAGTAAGTGAGGGGGCAGGATGGGTGGGGACTTGAATCTCTCCTCAGATCGAAACACATACATTTCTTGACCATAAGGCCCTGGGGGTGAGCTGGATAGGTCTGAAAAATATTCATGCAAACATGAAGGAAAGTTAAAGAGTAACAATGCATGGGGAAAGCTATTGACACACAGTTATTAATCTTAAACGTAGTACAGGTCCTGGAGCAAGGGACTTGTGACTAGGGCCTGTAACTGTAAGGGAGCAAAGGAAATGTCTGAGTTGTCCTGAACATGGACCAGGAAGATTCCTAACAAGGCAACATGGTGTAAGGAAGTAATGAGAGGCCAGCACCCAGGCTCCAGGAAACCAACTCCATTTGTCAGCCACATGACCTTGGATAGATTCCTTTATTATGGTGAGTTTCCTCATCAGAAAGATAAAAATCTTCCCAATTCATAATGCTTTTGAGAAAATCAAAGTGACAGGAAATGAAGGTGCTCAGTGAACTCAATGTGAAAAGATTAGATTGCATTTTATTTCTACCAAAGTAGCAGACAACAATGTTATATATTTTAAGTCTACAACGATCACAGCAGAGAGAACTCACCATAGCTGTTGTCAAGGAGGTGCAAATGTAAGACACAATAAAATCCCACTTCATACGTGGTGGGATGATCACCACTAAAATGGCAAGCACTATCAGACCGTGGAGAAACTGGAAGCTTCAAACTACAATGTTTCTACCACTGTGGAAACCAACAATCGTACAGCCACCTTGAAAAACAGTCTGGTCATCCTCAAACAATAAACTCTGTGACCCAGTAATTACACTGGCTTATCACCTAAGATAAAACATAAGTTCCCCCCACTCCCCATCCCAAACCTGACCATGAGTGCTCATAAGCAAAATTTGTAAGAGCTCCAAGGAGGAAACAAATGTCTGTCAACAAGGAATGGATAACCAAGAAGGGATTGTCATACCATGGACTTCTATTCAGCCACAAACAGAAGCAAGTACTGATACATATTTCAACAGCAACGAAAGCCCCAGAAGCCCACTAAGTGACAGAAGGCACATGGTACATGGTTACATTTGTATGAACTGTCTAGAACAGGCAAATCCATATAGCAGAAGCTTTGTGACTGACACAGGGCAGAGAGGAGAAAGAGATGGGCTTTAAAACTCAATATACTAAAAAAAAAAAAAAAAAAAAGGATAAATTTTACAATTAAAAAAGATGTGTTTCATGGTACTGGAATTGTACTTTAAAAATGAAAAGTATTCAGGTTAAATCTACAAAAATTTAATGAACTATGTTTTCTTTGTTTTAAAATTTTAAAGTTCCAAAGAAAAGATTTTAGTAAGTCTACTTTAATAGCTCAAATTTGCTTCAACATATAAGGCAAAAGGAAAGAAACAGCAACAATGCTGTATTAAACATCCACAAACACCACTGGGAAATTGGGAAATAACACAGGACAATCCTCAAGTGCTGCCCACTGTACTAAAAAAATCCAAGTTAGACACTGAAAAGTCACACACATGACCATACCCATTATCTGTACATTCCTAATAAATGGATTCTATGTCTTACATTACTGGATTAGGAAATTGGGTGAACCCAAAAAGTGTGCTAGTCTTCCCATTACATAATTATGATTGACTGTTAAATAGTCTTTGGTTACTTTGCAGATCATAATATAATCATAGCCCTAGTAGCTTCAGAATTTAAACCTTTTAAGGTCACCACTCCTCCAGCCAGTAAGAATGCTCACCATACGTTTCTGAGTGTATATCCTGAAAATTCTTTTCTAAATTGGGAGTTACTATGCTATGGACAATTTGTCCCTTGTCCTGGAGATTCTGTTATGTGATCTATTTCAGGCATTATGACAGCGATCACTGAGGGTCCAAGCCCTGGATTTTAGTGCTGGGAGCTGGTTGCACAATGGCATGACAAGTAGCAGAGGCAGGCTTTGTGTGCAAGAGGCCACATGCTCAGCGCAGAAAGTGCAACTCTCCAGGCAGGCACAACTCTACCTACAGTAATGAGATAGTAACTAAGGACATGATTTGCAAAATGTGCCTCTGCTACTGGAGTGAACAAGCACAGATACAAAGACCTTGGGGAAAGTGGTATACAAGAAGCAAAAATATATAGGACTTGCCCCCTGTATATTCAATTCCATGGAGAACAACTATTGGTTTGTTTCTTTCTCTCCTTTTTTCTCTCTCTCCCTCAGCAACAATTATACTGGTAGACTCTCCTAAAACCATAATTGTCAGCTGAGCTCTCAAACTAGCTGATTCAGGTTAGAAAGAAGCAACCAGCCTTTACAGGTAATATTATCAGATGCTAATGGAAAGTGTGAAATTTTACTGGAAACAGCTTTTGAAACCACAGGCTACTGGTGGGTTATATAAAAGCAAAATGGAAAACAGTGTATTAGAGTAAAAAAGGCAGATAGATATTATACGGGGGGGGGGGGGGTTGTGTTAGAGTGGGGTGTGTGGGGTATGTGATTATAAGATTCCTGAGAAGACATGAAAATACAAAATAAAACAAGAAACCACTTGGGGGAAGAAATGTGCATTTTACGAAAGACAGAGAAAGAGACAGCAATAGCGCAAAATTACCTCGACAAGATGTCTCAGAGCTTTCCATGGAATCTAACTTTAAAGCATCGAATACTTCAAAATCAGATTTCTTGACATGGATCAAATTATTAATCGTACCAAGCTGACTGGTAACCACAGGCTGAAACAGTGAATTAAAAAAAAAAAAAAAAAAAAAAAAAAAAAGATTAGATCCCTTTTCAAATCTCTCTTCTTCACCCAACCTCCCCTCTTCCCCTCTACATTAAGGAAAAATCTCTAATAGGGAGGGAGGGCTGTTGCCTACTGAACCGAAGGGCAGTAAGTCGTAGAGAGGTCACGAGGCTCCCCTGTGGATCAAGGCCTTACCTCTGACGGATCATGAACCCACTGTCCATCCACAAAGAACTTGTACTGGTGCTCTCCCTCTGGAAGATCCAGGATGGCAACAAAGTCATTATGACTAGGGAAGAAAACAAAGGCCAAACTGGCTAAGTTCTTTAAAGAAGACAGAATGGAGAAAGGGGCAATGATAGCATCATTGCAACCATTCCTAAGCTACTACAGCCCTTGTGCCTCCAATCCCTCAAACCCCTGCAAAGTATAAATCCATCCTCTCTTTCTGTATCACTCAAAGCATGTACTTGTCAACCTCTCCGAATAACTTCATTATCAACCAATCTCTCTCTCTGTGTGTGTGTGTGTGTGTGTGTGTGTGTGTGTGTGTGTGTGTGTGTGTGTGTGTCCTCACTTGTATACACACGAGGGGTGGGGATGGGAGTGGGTGTTGGGATTAGGGTTGGAGGATTGATTGCCAAAATGTTTTATCTTAGTAAACTGCTTTATTGCAGAACAGAATCTTGGGGCTGGGGAGATGGGCTCAGCCAGGAAGAGTGCTCAAGAGCTTGAGGACTTGATTTCGAATCCTCAGTATCCACATCAAAAGTTGGGCATGCCTGTAACTCCAGCATTGGGGAGCAGACCCAGAGAAACTGCTGCAGTAAAGCTAGCTGAAATGGAGAAACTCTGGTTCAGTGAGCTTGTCTCAAGGCAACAAGGTTAGAAGTCATAGAGGAAGATACTCAGATCTTGCTGTGGCCTCCACATGCACATACATGGGCACATATGACTACATGAATATGTATACATATATACACAAACACACACAAAAAGAACAGAGTCCTCACAAGTACAAATAAGGTAAAAGAGAGGTAATACTTCAGGATACTCTTCATATTTTGGTGAGCCTTTTCTGGAAAATGACCTATTACATAAAAGGTCACTCTGACAACCACATAAATCATTCACTACTGCTTTTCCAGCAACAAACTGGCATATACTTAGAATGTCATAATGCATTTTGCTTTAATACAGAAAGCAAAGCAACAGGAATTAGCTAGTTGCAGACTTCCTCCAGACAAGAAATGCCTTGAGAAACACAGTCCTGAAGAATGCACCCACACTGCTGTTCGAGACTCCCCAGAGGCCTACTCGCTCCCCTGAGAAAGGCAACCACGCATCTACTCTTGCACTATGCAGACAAGGGAGACACCTGTCTGGTGTGGTGGAAGCTCCGCCCCAGCCCCTGGCATCCACGTACCCAAAGAGTTTGGGATGTTATGGTGGATTCCACCCAAGCCCCCTCCCCCATCTCCCTCCAAATCCTGCTACATCTCAGAAAGCCCACCAAATGATGATCCCTCCCTCAGAGATGCTCAAGACCACTCCCGCAGGGTATTTTTTAAAATTGTCTGCCAGAGACCGCTCTCCCCCCACTCCCCCCACCCCGCCCCGGTCTTCCTTTCCCTGTCTCCTCTCTGGGGGGCTAGAAGGCCAGTTGGGAGTGTTGTAGCCATTAAACGTGTTTTTTTTTTTTTTTTTTTTTTTTCTAATTTGGTTTGATTTGGTCTGATTTGGATTGCTGCATTAGCAGAGAGGCTTACCAGGGTACAGAAACTTTCCAGTGTCCTCACCTCTTAATCAGTGGAATCTTGGTGCTCCAGTTGTTGAAGGACCCAGAAATGAAGACCTCCTTGCCCCCTTCAGACCAGCGGATAACGGTGGGCCTGGCCTGCTGGGTGGGCTTCACAGAATCATCCAAGTCCTGCTGCCAGGGTACAAACTCTTTGTCCCCAGGGAGCTGTAAGAAGGAGTAGGTCATCCCTAGAATAAATTATGACCCAAGGGTTTTTAAGAGGTTAAGTTTCCCTAGGGTATTAAAGGTTCTAGGTTTCAACTAAAGATAGCTACCCTAAATTCAGCAATTAAATCAAGAGTTTGAACAAACTACAGAAAAGAACTAATATAGGGTCCAAAGTGGTCAAATGGCTTATATTCCAGCATTGCCTAAATCACAACCTACTGCCCATTTTCCATGCAGAACCTCTGGATCACCCAACAAACAAACTCTCCAAACCCTTCCTCCAGCCTAACTTGTGTGCAGGCAATTAAGGTATATGTTCAAGGGCCTCTTAAGAGGGAAAAAAATGTAAGAAAGCCCAGTATGGTTCTTTAAAAGAAAAATCAAGCCAGATATATATTTTTTCAGAGGCAAAGTGGTCTTGATTGTCAACTGCAATTAAAGTTATAGATAACAAAATTCCCAAGTAACTAACAATGCTGTTTTAGCTACTAGGTTATACAATGGAACCTGAAGTATTTAAGGGTGGAGATGTACTTCTGTGTAGAGCACTTCCCTCCCAAGCATGAGTCTGAAAGTTTCATCTCCAGCACCATCATCCATCAATCGACACAAACTCCAAAGCCAGACCACAGATTAGGTATGGCTGAAACCTTATGAGATCTTACTTGCTAACTTAAGCCAAGCGCATATATATATATATATATATATATATATATATATATATATATATATATATGTCCCAAGAAGACAGATGACATTCTGGAGCTCTGTGAGTACAGGGATCAACAGTAGCTTCCTTGAGGAAAAGCAGATCCATTACTAAATAGGGTTTATAGGGTTCTGGGGAAAATGAATTCCTTAGCTTCTTTCCATTGCCATCTTTCAGGAAAAGCGTGGGCCAACTGTAGCCAGTGAGCCAGACGGCTTTTCACAAAGCTTTTGTTTGGAAACAGCCTCTCACTTGTTTACCTACCATCTACAACTTTCTGTTCCAGTGGGTGGTAGACCCGGGAGCTATGGCACACTGCATGACCCACAGAGTCTAAATTATTCATTATTTGCTCTTGTACAGAAAAAGTTTGATAATCGCTACTTTCACTGGCTTCAATAAGACTGTTTGGTATCAAGTCAAACATTGCACACAAGACAATGAAGGTTAGAGCAAGAAAAGACTAGCTTATTTGGGCTTTCCTCAAAATGAAAAATTTTATCTTCCATCCTGTCTCCCAATAGTTCTGAAAACTATTGTATAAGTACAAATCAAAGTAAATGGATAAAGAACATGAAGGGATTTTACATTATTCAGGAAACTGGGCTAAGACAAAGCTTTGGCCTCCACAGTCTCAGAGCAATGCACCTGGGGCTGATGGTTGCATTAGGCATGTTTACAAATGCCTAAGAACAATCCTCAGATTCTAATTCCCAAATAGGACCTGAGAACATATTTTTTAAAGCTTTCAGGTCATCAAACTGTACTTACATTACAATAAACAAGGAAAATATGCTTTGTCCCCTCCTCTCCCCAATGGGGTCAAATTCTCACTCTAGTGTAGACTGGCAGTGATCCTCCTGCCTTCTCTCTGAACAGCTGCAATTACAGGCATGAGCTCTAAAAAACAATCACCTTTTGAGCTATACCCTAAAATGTTAGAAATAGTATTTGTTGACATGTTTCAGAGTAGCGGGTGGGAGAGTAGCTTGGAGCACAGAAAGCCACTCATTCATGACCTTTCAGCAGCATTTCAACCAGGTGACATATACACAGTTCATCATATACACAGTTTATTATACTGTTCTAGTTTATGTGTCAGGTTTCCCATAAGGTTTTTAAAGGCATCTTGGGGGGATCCTAATATACAAACAGGATTCAGAACCACTGAGTGTGTCTACTAAAAAGCCTGACCTTTAGAGCAAAGATGCCCCCCACCCCCACTGTCTCTATCGGTTACTTTTATGACTGAGGATTTTCAGTTCAGGATTTGAAAGCTCTACACTATTAATACGCCTGGCTCTGGAGCGAAGCCCTTCCACTTACAACATGACACTTCTGTGGTAGCAGCAAATGCAGCAAGACTGTTTACTGGAATTGAACCATCAGCAAAACTACCACCACCAGCAGCAAACCGGCAATTCAGATTACCGTCTAAAGATGATTAAGGAAAATCAGTGGGGGAAGGAATGTGAACTATAAAGTTTTTAGTCTTCATGAGACAGGGGGAATTGCTGGAACTACTTTTCTCATTTCACAAACAGCAAGATGTGAGGGAAAGAATGTTCCAAAACAGGCCCGAATTCACACGGAGCAACCTGGCTCCTATTCAGGACACCAATTACTGCAGTCACAGTTTGAGTGTACCCAAATCCTGAGTCATCCATGTAGGAATGAGCAAAAAATACATGGCCTGTCACCCTGGGTGAGCTTTGGAGAAGAAACTCCAGGCTGAGTGCTGAGCACAGAGCAAAAGCGATGAGAAAGAAGTCCTAAAGTGGGACCAAAGAGGGGACCCCAAGAAACACACAGCCCAATACCTCTCACTTCTCTAACAGTGCCCTCAACCGGGACCCAGGGACCCAAGAAAACAAGCCGTATAATCCAGATTTCATGTGCTGCCAAAGAGGAAAATAAAACTCTATTTATTAGCCTAAGCCTCTGTGCAGTGGAAAGGGATAAAGTGATAAATGTTTAACGCATCCCAACCCTCTCCAACCCTTCGGTTTTTCTTTTTCACTCCCGACAGCCTTCTTGAGAAATTAAATGTATTTAATGCTGACATTTCTGAAAGTGATTAGGAACATCAGGGTAATAAATAGTCATGCTGCTGTCAGCTCCTTCTGCCTCTCCTTCTGGGTGAACGAAAATGGGCCTTTGGCTGAAAGTCCTTGGAACTGATGGCAAAGTCTTCCAGGCAGTTGTGGGTAGCTTTGAACCTCAGGCAACACTCTGAAGCACTCTAAGGTAGTAAAGGGAAGTGTGCAAACAGCACAACCACAATCGCCACGTTTATTAAAATAAATAAATAAATAAATAAACTGAAGCCATTATCCAAATGATGCACTGTACTGATCCCCAAGACTAGGTTAAAGTATTCAAGTGACAGCTGTTGAGAGCCACACAAAGGGAGATGAGGATCAAAGAGGGGGTGCAGAGCACCAGAGACAGCAGAATTGATAACTACACAGAGACATTTTCGGGGAAAAGAAATGCATTTGGCTATCTTCAATGTGAGAAACGGAGCCCGAATCAGCAGCTCAAACAAGGCACCCTCTTAAGTTTCCACCCTCGCTCACAATATACATCCTGCAAGCTCTACAAGAAGGCTGCGTGCATGTAGAATCAAGGATGGGGCGGGCAGGGGACGTGGCTGTCTCTGGTACCAGTCCTAAAAGTCTGGCCCACAGACCGGTCAGAACAGCAGGAAAACAACTCCGCGCCACTATCCTAATTTGAGGTAGTACTCAGGAGGCATTAGCACCCAACATCCCTGTCCGCGGGAAAGCCCTCTAACCAATTAAAAAAAAAAAATACCCGTAACCCTTGGGAGCGAGCAGGAAGAACCAAGAATGGCGAAGCAGCCGGCAGCCCCGTTACCTCACCTTGGAGTCGGGCAGGCTGAAGACGCTGGGGTCGTCAGTGCTCCCCACCATGATCTTGTGCTCCTTGCCCGGACCATGGCCGCCGCCCTCGGCTCGCGCAGCCTTGGCACCGTGGCGCTCCCCGGACACCCGCTCGCTGGTGGTGTTTCCCATGGCTGCAGCTCGAGTCGGGGGCAACCTGCCGCGGGGAACGACAGCGGGCGGGGAACACCCCCGCGGCCGCGTCAGGGGCGTCCCGGCCCCGCCCCTGCGCCCGGGGAAGGGAATCCCCGCCGCAGGAGGCCGCGCCCGGGGTCCCCTCCTCCCCGGTCCACTTCGGGGACACCTCAGCTGGGGAACCCGCCCGGGAGTCACCTCTGCCACGCGGCCCCGGCCCCGCACACCGCCGCGCCGCTCACCTCGGGCGATGCGCTCCGGGATCGCGGGGCCACACGCACGCCGGCTGTTCGGCATACAGAGAGACCAATAAAGTTATTGAAATTGAAGCCGCGCCCCAAGCCGGCGATCCCGGTTGTTTCCTCCTAAAATGGCTACAAGGCCCGCGGCGCGGACCCGCCTCTGTTCCTGGCCACGCCTACCGGGCCTCTTGTCCCGCCCCCTGCGTGCCAGCCCCGCCCCCTCTTCAGCCCTAGTCGCCTGCCGCTCTAGCCGCTGTCGCCGGCCGCCTCGGTGGTGAATGCGTGAGTACCTCCAGTGCGGGGCGGGGCGGAGAGTGGGGCCAGGGACGGGGTGGGGACCGGGCTCTCGTGTCGCCGGCGCTACGGTCTGGGTGGATGTCTAGAAGATTTCGGAGCCACGTCTCCCTAAACAATTTGTCTAACCATGGGACTCGGACTTGTTAGAAAGGCCGAATCCGAGATTTCATGCTCTAGGTACAGAATTAGAATCTGCACTTTAACAAGATCGCATCAAAGCTGCTTGACAGCGGTAAAGAGCAGTTCCATATTCGAATGGTTTTCACATTCCCCTTACAGCTCCACCGAGCAATCTCTTTTTAACTGTCCCAGGAAGTAATGAAATGAAGAATGGGACAAAGAATTGACTAGACGTTTGGAGTGTGACTGGCAGGTGCTGCAGAAGGCTTACTTACATGTGGTGCCTTCTCTTACTGTGATTAGCTGTGTGGATGCATGCATTCAGCTCATGATGAAGGTTGGCCAAGGAGGCACCAGAGGAGTTGGGAGCGCATGGTAGACTGGGACTTGTAGACTAGAAAGTAAAGGCAAAGCAGGCTGATGGAGGGCACAATGGAGTCTGAGATTGACGGACACAGCAGTGTCGGAGTGAGCTGAGAAGATGAGAAGTGGCTTTGGAGAGTAGGATACCTGCCACCGAGGCTTCAGGGGCCTTGCAGTTATTAGCACTGTCAGTATTTTCGATGAGATCAGGGGTGCATTAGGTGAGGTGAGGCAGACCATAAAACCATCACAGTAAGAAAATCATAGAATTGCCTGGAGAGATGGCTGGGTGGTTAAGAGCACTCGTAGCTCTTTCAAAAGACCCGAGTTTGGTTCCCAGCACCAACATGGAGCCTCATAACCATCTGTTCTAGGTGATCTGACATCTCTCGATGCATATACAAACATTCAGGCAAGACACCCATTTATAGATAATTTTTTTAAAAATATGTTAAAGTAAGTCATAGATCTGAAAAGTGAGATGGCTGAGAGCGTTGGAAGTCTAGCTTAACATTCCTTTCTTTCCTCTTTGAAAAGCATTGACTTCAACCTTGGAATACTCCATCTCCATCAGATGTCCATCTCCACAGAGATGCATTTCTTATCCTCCCCAGCATATATATGGGTGAAAATATTATGTAGATCTTCTGTTAAATCTTTCTTCATTTCTACATCTTTGTGTATAGGATGCTTCAACAGCCACTATGGATTTTGAGGTAGCTAAAAACAACGGGATAGAAAAAAAAGCTATGCAACTATAAAATCATCTCATAAAAGATGTCTATCCCCAGACATTTGTTGTTGTTGTTGTTGTTTTATGAGAGGGAAATAAATATCGATCTTATTAGGTCACAGTTGTTTACTGCTTTTGTATTAAATGGAGCTAGGCCAAATCCTAGTTAATACATTGGATTGGTGAAATACTAATTACATAGATATTAAAATCACCTTCAGGAACAACAGTGTCTATAAATAGCATTGAGCTGGGTACTGAAGTCCTCACTGAGTGAAGGGGAATAAGTAGATCTATAAATAATTACAAATAGAAGAGGTAGTGGGTGCTTCAAAAGAGACAGTGAACTGCAGAAAGCAAAAATAAATAAATAAACAAACTAAATAGCAACAGGGGTATGGGTCTTGTGAGAATCAAGAGAGAGAGAGAGAGAGAGAGATAAGCCAGGCTTTCTGTTTTAAGGTCTAGCTCCATTAAGGAAATAAGTTGTATACCAACAACTTTTTCAAACCATACACTGCATTAAAACTACCCAGACTCATATTAGTGGTCTATTCCAGAGTGCTTTCTACAAAACAGTTTGCTCCCAAACCAGTTCTAAATGCTAAGCACTCTTTACTCTCCTTTTAGAAAAGTGTTATTTTATATTTTATTTAATCCTTTAAAATATCATCCTTTTTTAAACCTCCCTTGTTAAGTATGCTTATTTAATTAATTATCACTATTTTGCTAGAGCCCCATTATGTTCCAGGCACTACAGTGGGCTCTGAGAGCACAGATTAGTTACAAAGTGTCTGTCTCTGAAGAGTCGAGAGAGGTAGGAGGTAAAGGAATCATTGTCTTGGTGTCCTGTGATAAGGATGTCCATCAAATGTGATGGAGGAATTGAATATACAAAATGTGATGAGAGCCCAAAGGAGACATATGTCACATTCGGGATTAAAAAGCTATTTCTAGAAGGGATAACAAATGAACTGAATCTTGAAGATTGAGAATTACCCATCTGGAAAGTGGGTATTAAAAACAGTACAACAGAGAATGTGTGTGAAGTCCAGTGCCTTGGGGAAGTGTAGGTAGACAGTCTGGAGAATGTTTATGTACTGTGATGCTGTTAGGCAAGACAAATATAATTACCTTGTTTATATATAACTTGTTTATGTGTAACTTGTCCTTCACAGCCATCAGTTTTCTTGCTGGGAACTACCGGCTTAATGTGCTCAGCCTGGAGGAACAATCTACCTTAGTGATTTTTAAGAAGCCTTGACCTTGTACCACTAATGCCCCCAATCATAATTTGTATTTGTCCATCACAGGAACTGAAATTTTTGTAGTAAATTATCTTATACTTTATTAGAGCCACTTAATCTGAGCAGAACTGAAGAAACAGTATTTTAAATAAATGCTTCCAGCCAATATTAATTTTCAAAAAAAAGATTTTTTATTTTATGTATTAAAAGTATTTTGCTTACATGTGTGCATGCACATGTACCACACATGTGCAGTGTCCGTGGGGGCCAGGAGAAGGAAGCAGATGCTCTGGAATAGGAGTTACAGACACTTGTGAGCTGCCCTGTGAATTCTGGGAACCAAACCCAGGTTCTTCACAAAGCAGCAAGTGTTCTTAACCACTGACTTATCTTTAGACCTGATATTCTTCTGAGAAATTTTTAGTATACAGTATTTCAGGTCAAACTCTGAACTGAACAAAACCAAAAACTTTTAGGATAGTTTTAGATTTAAGTTGTGAAGACAACACAGAGTTTCTAGATGCTCCACACCCAGTTTTCTTCATGGAACATGTCACTATGGTGCTTTTATTAATTTAATACCAATAATGATACAGCATTTTTAGCCAGAGTACATATTTATTAATAGTCCTTTAATTTTGACTTAATGCCTCTTTTTCTATTTTGGGATTCTCAGTGTGTGTTGCTGGAGTTTCTTTCCACCTTGGTCCCACAACTAATTTGCCCCAAATAAGCACACAAAGACTTATATTAATTATTCAACTGTTGACTGATGGCTAGGGCTTCTTATTGGCTAGCTCTGTCTTAATTATTAACCCATTTCTATTAATCTAAGTATTTCCACGTGGTCTTATCTTAACTGAGAAAGGTCCAGATCTGTTACTCCTTTGGTGGCTACATGGTATCTCTTCGTGGCCTCTCTGCCTACCTTTCCTAGAATTCTCCTCCTAGTCCCACCTATCTTCCTGCCTCTATTTGCCAGTGTTTTATTCATCAACCAATAAGAGAAACATATATACAGAAGGCATCCCCTTCAAGTATGAACACTTCAACCCTCCAGGCTCTTGTATACTAGGAAGCCCTTCTCAGGAGTGTGTGTGTGTGTGTGTGTGTGTGTGTGATTAGTTCATTCTGAGGTTGCCTTGTACTTTTCTCATGTCTAGCCTGGGCTATAGTCTGAAGGAGGAACACCACAGAGATTATGTCATATGATTGTCACTGCTTACTTTGACATGGACCACCTAACTGGGCTAGTTTTTCTGCTTTCTCCTCTCCAGCTCTCCCTCACCCCCTCCCACACTTAGATTCTGAAGGAGGTTAACCTATACAGTACATTTAAGAGAGTTTTGCTTCATTTCCTTGAGGGGAAAACACATTATTTTGAATTCTGTGTGGGAGGTTTATCCATCCCATCTCACTAATGTTTTCAGTAATTTATTTATAACAGTATAAACTCAGGTATCTTTATGTTTCATGTTATAATACAATACTAGATTATGTATTGCTCTTTTTTTTTTTCCAATTTGGTCATTGGGGACACTTTGCAATGGATTCTGTGCCCCTTTGACATGTGCTATTCAGTTCTTTTTGGCTGCTTTTTTATTCTGTGGTGTTACAAGAATACATCTTTTGAGTAATCAGATTTATCATAGTTGGGAAAGTGGTGTAATCTTTTGCTATGGCCTGAAGAGCCAAATGTGTAAATGGATGAATTAGTACATGTTCATCAGTAACTACACTTTGTATTCTCAGTTGTTTTAAGTTCGATATCCTAGTCTGGTCCTTCCTTCGGCCTGGTTTAGAAATCAATGATGTTTTTGTAGTTTTACACATTCTAAGTGGAATGAGACAGTCAGATCAATTTAAAATTGCAGGCGCTGAAAGAAGCCTGCTGTGTTATGGCTGCTAAAGAGAGATGGTATTCCTGGAGGTTCAATACTTCAATATCTTCACAGGCTAAACAAGAGAAATTTTACATTGCAAAAGAAGAAAAGTTCAGATGCAGAGCTTCAATTTATTCTTGAAGAAAAGCAATCTTCAGATTAAAAAAATCCCAGATCCACTTCAATTATGAGAAACATTATTGGGAAAGGACAAAGACCCCAGGAACCATACCAGAACACAGTGCTTAAGTTCACAGAAGGTACACGGGGTGAAATGTTATGAGACTGTCCAAATACATGTATGAATAGGAAAGAGTTTGAAATTCTCACATATCTGCTTATGTATATGTGTTTATTCTAATGTTTCTCTTTGAGCTGATCAAACTTATCTCCTCTTTCAATGATTGGCAACAGTCCATTTAGAGATATACTACACAGCAGTAATTTCTGAAGACACCCTGCTTGCATGTCCAATACCTGTCCCCAGGGAGTTCAGTGAAGGCATATTGCTGTGCTTGCTGTAATTTTTTTTCAAAAAGTGAAGAATGGCCAATAGCTAGGCAGGAGGTATAGGTAGGACTTCTAGGCAGAGAATGAGAAACTAGGAGGAGGAATCTAGGTGCGCAATTTCACCAATGACTCAGAGCAAGACAGATGTGCCATAGTAAGAAGAGATAACTGAGCCACGTGGCAGAATATAGATTTTAAAAACTACGAGTTAATTAAGTTATAAGAGCTAGTTGGGAAAAAGCCTAAGGTAAGGGCAAGCTTCCATAATTAATATTAAGAGCCTGGGTCACTGTGGGCTGATGGTCCAAAGATAGCCGGTTAAGAAAGCTTGCTACACAGGTCATTTCCTGTTTTTCTGAACTACACTGTATCATACAGGAAGAACTGATATAGTCAGAATGCTCCCAGTCAATATTAATATCGGCAGAAATGAATTCTAATGAGACATAAATGACCTCATTGATTCTTACTGTGTAGACTCTGAAGGAAGGAGAGGGTAGAGAGGGGAAAAGTAATCACATGGGCAGACCCCACCTCAGCAGCTGGCCGTCACTTATCTCCTTAGCTTAAGTCTTACTGGATCCTAATACAGGCACTCACAGATCAAGCCAGGACAGCTAAGCAAAACCCCCAAATTCTTCAGCAAACCTATTGGAAGATGGCAAGTTATCTCAATGACTTTTAAAACCAAATAGCAATTTCTTTTCTTGTTTTGTATTTTGCTGTTGTTGTCATTTGAAGCATGTTCTTGATAGGCAAACCTGCTTGGCCTGAAACTCACTATGTAGACTACTAGGCTGGTCTTGAACTTTCAGTGAACTCCCAAGTTCTGGAATTCCAGGTATGTGCCACTGTGCTCAGTCTAGTAGTTTCCTTTTTTAAGGAAAGTAGAAGCATGATATAGAAAGATGGCTAGGTGAGTAAGGGCACTTGGTAATGAAAGCAACCTCTTTCCCACATTAAAGATGGGCCTATTTGGTTCTACTATTAACAACAAAAATCAACCTTCTAATAGGTAGTTAATTGTATCAGAAGAAGAGTTCCATGGAGTTGGTTATTTATTAGACTCACTCAGGGATGCCAGCTTATTTCACATATATCATTGGCTCTTATTAAGCATGTACCACACATCAGAACTTAGTTAAGGACATGGTTTCTGTTTTGCCATTCAATGCCCTCACTTTATTAATAATGAAGCCAGGAGTTCTTCAATGCCTGCACCCTTGACTTTGGACTTCTATCCCTCAGCACTAAATGGTTAATTCTTGCTGCTGGAATTCCTGAGATAGACATGCTGGCTCTGCTCACAAGGTCAAGTTGTAGCCACTATGTGCTTGGTAACGTGAGCGGTCTCTTCAAGATGTATTATTACACACTGAAGTCTAGGTGTGCGAGATCAGAAGTGCAACAGAGCCCTGCCAATGATGTATGGAGATGACAAAAGAGCCTGACTCCATCGTCTGGGAATTTCCAACAGGAAAAAGTGGAAGCTCAAGAGAGGAAGGGAGATGAACTGATAAATGAAAACCCAGTATCGCAGAAGGAAAAACAAGAAAGATTGAGAGGCAGATACAGAGAGACGAAGACAGAGGACGAGAGGCAAAGACAAGAGGCAGCGAGACCGACTTCTGAGCAGTATGAAGCTGAGTTTCCAGTCTTGTCAGGTTCTGAAGATGTTGCTAGAAGAGGCTTTCCAGGGAAAGCCAGAGGACTGACACGGTCACATCTGAAAATAAGCCAGGATTACAGCAAAGAAAGCAATGGCTAGCATGATGGCACGTATTGTCACTAGTGAAGCCCCAGAATCACCCTTTTCAACCACTCTTGTCATCAGAGGCTTTCTTATGCGATCTTCTGTGGTGAGAATAGCTTGTCGAGCTCCGGCCCACTTTCCAGGGCCCTGTAGGCGATACTGGACTGGAGTACAGGGTCCCAGTAGTAAGCGTAATGCCAGCTTGGGGTCAGTGAAGGCCAGAGACAGGAGATTGGGCCTGACACCCATCAAATCTGCAATCTCTTCCATGGTGTCTACATAGTCTCCCTGGATGGTGTGACGCTGGCTATCCACATACCTAGAGCAAAGAAGACAGAAGACTTGAGCTATCAGCAATTCTGGCAAACAGCCAGTCAACTAGCCAGCCATTCTGTGCCTTATGAGTGTCTATTTGTGGGCTTGATATTGTGCTAAGAACTGTGGAAAATAGATAGGCCATTTGTTACTTTCCTTATAATAAACTAAACTGTTGTGGGAATATTTGATCATACTGTGAACCCTGGGTTTGTGTTTGCATTAATAAGTAAAATCAACCTTGGGTCAGGAGGTAGAGCCAGTAACTAGTTGACAGAAAGTAGTCATAGTCAGGAGGACTCCAGAAAATGGATGGAGGAGGCAGGGACTTGGAGTGTGGCAGTCTTTTTTTTGGTTTGGAGTGATGGAAGAGACATTCTCTTTCTGAGACACCAGTGAAGAGGGAAGGTCAGCTGGTTGCTCCCCAACTTCTCTGAGCTAGCAGGTTGTCACCCCAGCCTCTGACTCCTGAGTCTTTATTGGCAAATAGAATGATAGAGATTTAGTTAAAAACTACGTTTGGTGGCAGCAGCAGGAGGCAGATCTGGTGGGGCAGAATAGTCCCGGTTGGCTGCCACCTGAGAATCTGGCCAGTACCTGCAGAGCCACTGTAGTTATTGGCTGAAACAGTAGATTCAGGTGCAGCTGCTGTGCCAGGGGAAAAACGGCACTAGACTCTATAATTCATAGGCACTATACTCAAGAAGTCAGAAGTGTAGAGGTCTTCAGGTAAATATTCTTGGTTGTTGGGTGCAAAATGGGAATGTAGAGGGGAGGTAGTTAAGTGAGCTATGGCTCACAGATCCTTGAGGTATAAAGCTAAAGTGAGAACAAAGGAAGAATTGTAAGTGAGGCAAACAGCAGAGTGAAGGAGTGGTGGTGGTGGTGGTGGGGAGAATGGGTATAGAATAAAGATATAGACTATCTAGGTATGGCCTACAGCAGTGGGAAACAAGAATGGAGATGGAGAGGCAAGCCTGGCAGATCCAGACGATGCTATGCTATGTGCCATGGAATGTCACAAAGTTCCTTAAGCATGGAATCCTCAGTTAGTTGATGAGGACAAGAGTTAGTGGGGTGCACAGAATAAGGCTTCTCTGGATTGATGTCATTTGGAAAAATTTGAGAAGCTGAGACAGTTACTCCAAGAGTAACTGGTCCTCTGGAGATAGATGGGATGGTTGTACCAAGCGCAGATGTGAAGGGTTAAAAGAGTTTTCAGTGGGGAAATGTGACAAACAGTGATATCTGTGTGGATAAAGTGGGCTTGGGGAGTGAATGGAAAACCAACTTTTTGCCCTGTGATGACTATAAAAGAATAGTAAGACCAAGAGGGAGTAAGGAAAAAGCCAAGCCAAGCTAACAGAGATTGAGGAATTCAAAACAGAGGGAGTAAATTTGAACAGAGCTTGTGAGATGGGATGGCAGAAGGACTCTCAGATGACCACAGAGAAATTACAGAGATGAGACTGAATTTTGGCAGAGACAGGGAAGAATTTGGTGACTTGGCTTCCTCCCATGGCTCACTTTGTTAGCATGCGCTCACTCACCCTGTAGTTGGAGATAAAAGCTGTAGGATTCACAAAGGTTCAAGAAAAGGAAATCACCAATGCCACCTTGCAGGGCTGCCACAAGGAGTAAATCATCTCCATGCATATGAAATGCTAAATGTGGACCCTCAGTAACATCCCTGGGGACTGCACACAGCCACGAGGCCTTTATAGACGTCAGTAAGCCAAAGAAATGAGGGCAGGGAAGTTGAAACAAATTAGTTTCGTGCAGGAAGAGAAAACAATCCAAGAAGGAGGAATGCTCAGAAGTGTCAACCTCAGTAGTGAGAGGATGGAGCTGAAGTGAGTTGTGGAAGACTTCCGAGAGAGAAGCTTCAGGGATGCCCAGGAGCTTGGTGGGGAGGGCAAAGGATGAGAGCACAGGACCCAGAAACTCCACCACAGGACTCCAGCAGTGAACAGGAAATAGAGCACCTGGTGGCAAGTGAGCTGCTAAAGAAAGGGACAAATCCAGAGCCACTACTTAAGAAATCATCACCAAATAATACATCTGATGTTCTCTTGGTATATTTTTTCCTACTCAACTTCTTTTAGAACCTAAACATGTCCCATCAGCTTCTCTCTCCTTCATCATCCACACGGGAACCATGGGTACTGTAATTCTCTTTGATGCCACAGTGTAATAGAAATCAGTCAGCCCACACATGAAAACTATATATAGCACAATATTCTTCTTACTTGGAAATATATAGAGAAAGTATTCAAATGTCTTCCTGGGAGAATTTCTTACCTTTTCGCCATTTCCTCTCGTGTCTTATTTATTTCTTCCATCATTTCACTTTGTGAGGGCAATTTCTTTAGTCCTAAAGAGAAAAAAATTAAAAATAGAAGTGTTAATTACTTCAGACTGAGCAATAACTGTAATGACAATTACCACACTGTGGGTAATTCAAAGAATTACAGGGTCTAATGAGACATTATAATATGCATTTGGTCCTACCACTACCAAAATATGATGGTAAAAGTTAGCATCCTAAATGTGGAAATCAGAAATTGGAAATACTCCCAAATCCAAACTTCTTTTGAGAATTGACAAAAAGTGCCATAAGAAAAAAAAAATCCACAAAGAGTTGTATGTAAAGGTATATAGGAAAAAGTAATTAATTCCATGTTTAGACTTGGGTCTTGATCTAGAAATAACCCATTACATAAATACAAATTGTCAAAAATCTACATCTGAAACACTCTGGTCCTCAGCATTTCAGATAAGGAAACCCCCTTTCATTCTCTGAGACTTACGTAAGATTTACTCTATTCTGCCTTATCCTTGCAAGATACTTTTTAATTATTTCTTTTATTTCTAAGATTATAATACAATTACATTTCCTTCTCTCTTCCCCTTCCTTCAAACCCTTTCATATACCCATCTCAAACACCGTTTTCAAATTTATAGCCTTTTTTATTTATTATTAAATGCATACATGTACGTACATATACATTCCTAAATATAACTTGTTCAGTCTGTATAATGTTACTTGTACGTACATATTTTCACAGTTGACTATTTGATATTGCGTAACCATTTGGTGTGCTCTTCCTTGGGGAAGACTGTATCTCCTGCTTTCAGTATTTCTTAGTGGCCTGTAGCTCTTTGTGTCGGGTTGAGGTCTTTCCCCCACCCACTTTGGAATGTTCAGCATGTTTAGGCGTGTTCATGGTGAGACTTTATGGGTATAGCTTCTGACATTACTAGGAGACACAATTTTACAGAAAACTCCCTGATCCTCTGGCTATTACAATCTTTCTAATCCTTCTTCTGGAATGTTCCCTAAGCCTTAGATATGGAAAGTTTTTGTTGTTGTTGTTTCATTTGTGTGTGGGTTTCTCTCTCTCTCTCTCTCTCTCTCTCTCTCGTAGCTGTACCCATTGGGACTGGGTTTCCTTGGAAGTTATTTACTTTTCTCTGATTTCCAAATGATCACTTAATGTGGTCCTTCAGCTGGAAAATAAAATATGGATATGAGGAAATGATAAACGACTTAAAAGATAAAAATGATTTAAAAGCCTAGAAGAAATGAAGCACAACATGGAATTCCAAGCGAGTGGGGGGACAATCCTGCACTGGTATCTTGATAACGAAGAGGAAGAGGTTTTATATTTCAGAGAAAGAAGGAGGTAAAAGACTCACCATGCTATTTTATGCTTAAGTGCCATGGAAGGTAATCCTCACCATCTAAATTCTGTTATTTGATAAGAGTTGAGGGTAAGGCTATGGGTAACTCGTAATTCTCAAACTTGACAAGTAAGTCTAAGCTCCGATGTGCAAACAGTTCCAAGAGCATGAATTTGACACCAATGGGACCAACTAGATGAAGCCCAATTAGTATTTCACCCAAAATAACTCCAATTCAACCAAATTTCTTCACAGATAAATGGACGCTAGGCACTACTCCATGAAATTCTGAAACAAACTTTCAGGATAAAAACAGATCTTGCCTACTGCAATCCTCTTCTCTATAATACTAGTACAAGCAGCTATCTCATTTATCCTTAAACAATGCTGGTCATGGAGACCTTATATATTCCAAGGACATGGCTCTAATTGCTGGAACATTCTTTGTATTAACCCTCAAGTCTACTTCTATGCAACTTGAAGCCCTGAGTCTAATTCTGCTTCTGGAGAGAGGGTTGAGTTTTAGTACTGGAGAGGTCTTGAAACAAGAAACAACAGCTTCTTTAAGTCATTTCCTTACTAGATTAACCCCAAATCCCCGTATAACAGGTTTCACATGCTCTGCCAGCTGGGTGATTTCCCTTTTCTGAGCATACCCGGTAACTTCCCTGGTAGTTTCTCTAAACACAGAACACAGAAACTCAGTATCCGGGAAGACCCTTCTGTGTCTTCCAAGTGTCCTCTCATTTAAGCCATGGGAATTACATGATCACTGAGGAAACACTGTCATGCTTCATGCTTAATCACAGGTCCTCAGGATGCTCAAGAAACTCACTTGCAGAGCTGACTTCCCAGTTGCTTCTCATGATAAGACCAAAAGTGTTACTTTTAGTGATGGGGCACATTATGGAGGGAGAGGTCTCTTTCTTGGCTGAGAGAGAGCCAGTTCATTTTTAACAATTCTACAGATGCAGAAAACAAAGATGTGTAGAATAATCGGATGCCGTTCCTTCTTGATCCATCATCTCTATTCTTACAGTATCCCCATCTTTAAACCTAATCTTTAGAAATCACATTTAAGTTTTGCTGGTCTAGTGTTCTCTAACAGTATATGACCCGCTGGATAGAACTGGAAGAAATTTTTGATTAACTATCTGCCATGAGAATTTTTCAATAGGGAGAGAAAGTATAATTCCAACAAAAAATTCTGAATATTTAAATTAAATAGTAATGATAATAATTTGTGCTATTACAACCATATAAAGAACCTTAATGGTTTTTCTCTGTTCTGTACTCTGTCACATCATCCCCCTCCACCCGACATATAGCCAAATGGCCATCCAGCCATTGGCTCCTTTTTCTATTTTCCTTGGATTCCTCACTATTTCAGAGGCCATCTGGTACTGGCTGACAGAAAGAAGTGTCTTTCAGATTGTTGTTAAACAGATGTTATCAGCCTTCAAGATCTTACTCCATGGTTCTGGTTTGATCCTTCAAAGCCATACTGAGTAAACCTAATTCTTCTATAGGCCATCCATTTGGATATTTAAAGGGAAACTTTCACTTGTCCTCAGGTTTTAACTTCTGTAGCCTAAACTTCTCTAGCTCCTTCATTTGTATTCAGATGGTATGCTTTCAAATTTCTTAAGTCCTTTTAATTTATGAGTATGCTTGTTTTGTCTGTCTGTCTGTATGTGATGCTCCTTGAGGTCAGGCATCAGATCCCTTGAAAATGGAGTTATGTATGGTTGTGAGTCACCATGTGATGCTGGGGTCCTCTGCAAGAGCAACACATGCTCTTGACTGCTGAGCCATCTCTCTAGCCCTCCCTACGCCATTTTTATCTCTTCCCTGTTCATTGCATTCTTGCTTTTTTCCCCCTACAAATTTATCTTCAGGTATGTCCTAGGCAGATTAGAAAAGAACAATTATATTATTCTCAGACTCGGTAATGATGCTGAATTTAAGGCAGTCTTCAGGAAGTCTCACCACATTGCTGACTCATGCTGAGTCTATTACCCTAAAGTCAAAAGGTTTTTTACACATAGCTGAAGCTGAAAAAGGGGCATAAAGGGAGAGGGGGAATTAGGGATTTGATAAATTAAATATTCTACATTCTGGATGAATCTAAGCATCTCTTAATCTATGGATAGAATTAAGTCATGATAGTCTATATTAGACTTCATCTCTAATGAAAGAATCATTTAACTCTACAAGTAAATGCCAGCTGTATATTGGAGTTATCTGGAGAACCCTTTTCTCAAAGATTTAAGCCAAACCCACCTCTGAGTTGAGCATGGCAGCCGTGGGAGTAAAGCATGCCTAATTAAGAAAAATAACTGACTTCTGTTTTATGTGTATCTATGGTTACACATTACTACTTTAGATTCATTGAAAATATTTTTTCTGGCACTATTTAAAATCATGTCTTCCCTGTAGGTATTTAAAAGCACGTGCACAGGTATAGGTAAAACATTTCACCTAGCTGTTAATGTATATCATCACTCACCTTTGAACACTTGAATGGCCCAGCGTCCTTGGAGCTCTGAAATGGGCATAATGGCTCCCAAAGGTTGAATTAATCCGATGATAGCAAGAGTTGGCTTTTCAAGGTTAGGTGGAAAGACCTTTTTATACAAGGACACCTTGTTTTTGACCACTTTGACAGAATCTTCAAGAAAAGGAAAGGCAAAGCTATAGCCTGTGGCAAAGATGACTACATCAATGTCATCCTCCCTGGAGCCATCCTCAAATATAGCAGCTGTCTCCGTGAATTCCTTCACATTTCCTTTCACCTTCACCAAGCCAGAGATGATGCGATTTGGCAGCTCATCATTTACTGTTGGATGCTGACTCAGAGCTCTGTAAATGGTAAGACAGCAAAGAGGTGAGGTGCAAGTGAAGGAGAAGGAAAGAAAGAAGTCAGCACTGAGTATAATTCTGCTCCAGTGCAAAAACATGTCAGTGTTTACCCCTCCTACCTAGTCATAGATGCTCATGAAGGTCTACCTTATACCAGCTTGGCATAGATCAGGACTTCAGGGCCTGGGTGGCTTGGAAGTGTGTGTGTGGGGGGGTAGAAATGAAGGGCAAAGGTTTTATCTGGAGTGTATATGTGGTTTCTCAGGTAGCAGCGGATGTTCTGAGGCATGGTAAGGCTACCCACCAGCAGTTTCAGACAGCTCTCAAGAAATGGCAGAAATAGGTTATGCCCAGTGTCTCAGTTCACTTCCTGTTGCCTTCAGATCAAGATGGAGAACTCTCAGCTCCTTCTCTAACACCATGTCTGCCTGCACGCTGCCATGTTGCACAATGACAATGAACTAAACCTCTGAAAATGTAAACCACCCCAATTAAATGTTTTTCTTTTATAAGAGTTGCTGTGGTCATGGGGTCTCTTCGCTGCAAGAGAAACCCTAGCTAAGACACTATCCTTTATTTCTAAACAAGCCATCTACACAATTGTGCAAACCACAAAACTATTAATCGCATATCTGCCTGTAACATGCCCTGGGCACACTTTTCCTTTGCTCACCTGGAATGTTATAGTTGCCTGTGTACTACCATTTTATCAGCTTTCCTTGCTGTTTTCAGAATGGCCATTCTTAAAGACACTATTATGCTACCCGATTCTTAAGATTTATTTATTATGTATGTGTGAGTGCATGTGTGTAAGTATATGCGCCACATGTATGCCTCATTTCTGTAGAGGTCAGAGGCACTGGATCTTCTGGTACTGACACTACAAGGGGTTGTGAACCTCTGATGTGGGTGCTGGGAACTGAACTCAAGTCCTGTGCAAGAGCAGCAAGTGCTCTTAACCTCTAAATCATCTCTCACCAGCACCACTTAAAACATTTGAATGGCTTTGCACTGACTTCATTCTAGATCCTATTTAGCAGACCATATAAAAGTTTTCATGTCTCATGAACCTGAGTCTCCTCAGTATAATGTAATAAAGGAAAAGCTATCTAGCAAGTCAGAATTTAGAGATGATCTATAAAACAATACTTTGCATTACTTTTTAAAAAGGTCTATGTTAAAAAAGAATTTGAATTATTATTTCAGGTTAAAAGTTTAAAGATATTATAAATATATGACAGATTGTAGTAGCATGAGTGCTACATTCTTGAAAGGATAAATAAAGCTACATAGTATTGGAAAAACTGTTGAAGCTTTAATATGACACTATTTTGGACATGTTTATTAATATTAAATCTCCTGACTGTGATACTTGTGTTATGGATATACCAAAGAATGTTCTTTTTCTTATGTGATACATGCTGAAATGTTTTAGGTAACATGTTTTAATGATTACAGCTTACTCTTGAGCGGTTAAAAAATATTCACCTAGGTATGTGTGTGTGCTTTGTAGATGTGGATCTATTGCTATTTCAAGAGGGGACAGGAAAAAAAGCAAATATAGAAGACTGTTCAAATGGTCAAATCTAGGTAAGAGGTACACGAGTAGACTTTGTATTTACTCATTTGTGCAACTTTTCTGTAGATCTGAAAACTTAAAGATCAACATGGGGCCAGTGAAATGGCCATTTTACATTTACCAGTAGATAAATATCTCTGGGGCCAAGACTGATGACCTGATTTGGATTCCCCGGAACTCATGCAGCCGAGAGAACTCTCACAACCTGTCTCTGGTCTCTATATGTATAACTTGCATCGTTTGTGCAAAACCTTACCCCCCTACACACAAATAAATAGATAAAATAAAAAGGGCATACTCAAGTATTTAAGATTAGTCTTTAGAAATGCTTTCATAAAAGTTGACTGCCTGACTGTGTGTATGTCTGTGTGTACATACATATGTGTCCTTGCGTGCCATAGTGGCATACAGAGGTCAGAGGAAAACATACAGGGGCCAGTTTTTTTCTTCTACCACACGGGTCCAGGAGATCAAACTTGGGCCACCAAGCTTGGCAGCAAGTGCCTTTACCCTCTGAACCATGTCACCAGTTCCAAGTCCATTCTTTATACTATAATTTCATTCTGTATTCCTCTTACAGTCCATGCTTCGCTGTTGCTATTCCCCTCCTCCACCCTCCCCCAATAGTACTGGAGATCAAATGCAGATGCCCACGCATACTAGGCAAGTGATCTACTACTAAGCTATATCCTCAACTGTTTTCTGTTTTCCACCTTTTCTTATTACGTTGCTCAGGCTGGCTGGCCTTGACCTAGCACCCATCCTGCCTCCATCTCCCCTGCAGCTAGGAGTATAATTGCACACCACCAGATCTGTTTCTGTATGAATTTTCAAAAATCCTATTTGTTATTTCTATTTTTATTGGTGTTTTTAAAGGAACATCCATTTTCTTCCATTTCTCCATGGCATTTCTTTTTGTGTTGACCATGGACAAATTATGAATGCATAGGACTCACTTAGCTCTATGCCTATAGAAAGTCCTCTAGAGGGCAAGGTGTTAGTATCTGTATTAGTGTTACTATTATATCTTTTTCCCTCTGTATTTCATGCTAAGTATAAGGAAGGCCTGGCTCACAGCTTGTTAGGTGGATGAACAAATGATGCATTAACCTCTGCTACTGTGTCTTAGTTGTTGATGAGCGCTGTATGTAAAGAGCTGACACTGTGAGGAAACAGTTACCATCAAGAAGAACTATAAGCTGAAAATCTACAGACCTGCAAACTAGGAAATGGATTCCTGACTCTGCCGATGTTCTTAATGTCTGGGTAATGGTAGTTCTACTATGGGCCCATGTCAGCAGTCCTGATCTTTGTACCTTGGCCATCTCCAGCCCCTTTCCCACCTGGGAACATACCTGTGTTTAGGCTTCAGGCCAAACATTTCATGATCAAACCTTTGGTTCATCTGTTTTTCCATAAATCCATTTTTAAATGACGAACTAAGGATCTTTGATAAATAGTAGACAAATCGAGACGAGAAAAGCACATCAGAAGGATATCCATTTTTCCCTACACGGTTCAAGATCCAAGCTCCTCTCCTGGTACTGAGGAATACCTGGAGCATGGGAAACATTGTTTGCTTGGATCAGTCTGGCTCACAGTCCTTCAAAGCAGTTCCATGCTTTTGTGCGCCCCCCTACCCCACACAAAGAAAATAACTGTAAAGGTTAAGTTCAAATTTATTACTGTTTATTCCTATATAGCCTTGTAAGCCAAACACCATGCTGTTTCCTTCCTAAGCTGGCACGTTCACTTGCCATGGATGCATCTTGCTGTAATCTACTGTTATTTGCTAAACCAGCCATTTTCTTATAAATCATTTGTTCTCAACCTCCATAATGCTGCGACCCTTTAATACAGTTCCTCATGTTGTGATGACTACTCCAACCATAAAGTTATTTTTGTTGCTACTTCATAACTAATGTTGATACTGTTGTGAATTGTAATGCAAGCAACTGTGTTTTTGGATGGTCTTAGGGGACTCCTGTAAAAGGGTTGTCATGGCCACAAGCTGAGAACCATGGATCTAAGTCCTCCTACATCTATGCACTTCTGAGTCTCAGATCAAATCTGCTGCATCTATAGGACACCACTGACCTTCCAAAGTGATCATTTCCTCTCCATCTGCTGAGCCTCCCTAGCACTCACCATCTACAGGATGCATTAAAAAGGAGAGAATTGGGACTGGAGACACGACTCGATAGGTAAAGCACCTGCTGCCAAGCCTGGCAAACTAAGTTCCATCCCTAGGAACCAGCCCCTGTGGGTTATCCTCGGACCCCCACATATGCATCACTCCATGTGTACTCCCATACCCCATGCAAAGCAGATAACTTTAAAGCATTTAAAAATTATCTGTGAAATAGTAAAGCTGAAAGTCATGGCAGATCTTTTCATTCAAAACCCTCAGTCATTTTGCTACTGAGGGTTTGTTACAAAAACCTTGGTTATCATTTGTATCATTCATATTACATCATTTATAATCAATAACCCTGTTAGACAGATGTCTAATATCTACATCAGCATTCATAAGCTCTTGACCTCTGACTCTCCGAGTGTGTTTCTGCAGCGCAGGAGGTGTGACCCGTGCACACTTAGTTTCCTTACCGAAATCTGTGACCCTTAAGTAAGCCACTGTGTCAGGCCCTTTACGTTTTAATTTAACCAACACAGAACTCTTGAGGATGCCACTGTCAGCCCCATTTTATGGCTGAGAGGCATGGAAAGAGCAAGTCACAAAGCCTGAGGTCATCTAGCTAGAAAGTAGCAAAGCTGACTTTTACGGTGTCTAACTCCCGAATGCTAGGGCAACTATAGGAAGCAGTCTTCCTATGTCCTCTGTTGGCCAAAGCCCATGTTCAAAACTGGCTAAAGGCTGATTTTCAGTTACCAGCGAGATCATTACTTTTTCTGTTCCATATCCCCCTCTGGAGGTGCTTTCTAGAGCTGTAAGAAATGTCCATTGCTTCATGGTCTTTAGTGAGCAGCCTATCTTCAGAGGAATGGTCCTTTCCTCCACACATACATTCTCACAGATGGGAACCCAAGGGCTTACATATGAAGGGATTCAACATGCCATGGATGAAAGTGCATGCATATTACCTGGAACCAGATGCTTCTGTGTATTAGCTGTACAACTTCGGAAAAGTAAGGTTCAGAGGCTTAATTAAAGGGTTCCTCATTTACTCAACAGTGACAGTAATGCATATATCCCAAGGGAATTGTGAGAAATGGTGTTGTGTAATGGTGTGGTATGCAGGAAGTACTCAATAAATGTTGAGTGGCTGTTACACTTTAACTTCAGCTTACCATCTCTATCTGTTTACAATAAGCAAAGTATTTACAAATCTTATTGTAAAAAGAATATGTAAGAAATCATTTAATCAATATAATCTTGTATCTTCATTGAGCCACTACGTTATTGGTAATAGGTAATGCCTACCTGTTTTTCAGTAATTGTGATTGTTTTGTTGTTTCTCTACAAATATGCTTCAAATTATTTCAAGAAAAATCTCTACTGCTACAGTTTTGTTAAATGATAATTGCCCAGCAACTCCGCCGCAACAATACCTCTGCCCAGTGCTGCTTCCATGTCTAAATGTGAAGGTGATTTCCTATGTTACTGCATGAGTTAATTCTATAATTATCAGGAAATAGTTATACACAAACAAATCGGGTGGCTCACAGTCACATGGGCTTCAGGAGAATCTAATGCCCCTGTAGCTATGTATGTATACATACATACACATACATACACACACACACACACACACACACACACATACACACACACACGCCTCTAAAGAGCATTATGTCAAACTTCCTTGACACATTCAATTTCATAGGTCCATTTGAAAATTTTGATTTATAGGCTATATATTCAGCATCAACCCTAAAGCTGCAACTTGGGCAGTGAACAAACAAACCCCATGCGTTTGCTGCTGGCCTGGGTGGGCCATATGTAGGTCTCTGTAGTCTTTGCTGGGTCTACTTCCTGGGTGAGAGTGAAGTTAAGTGGATGATCATTGATGCAAACCTGCTTGGCTGTGTGGCTGATCTCTACGGCCAAGTCCCCTCCAGAATTCCCAATGCCAATCACAATGACTCTTTTCCCAGTGAATTCTACTGGGTTCTTATAGTCGCGACTGTGAAAGTACTTCCCTTTGAACTTTTCAATTCCTGCAAGACAAGGGAAAATAGGTTTTGGGGGATGATTTGAATGAAGAATATTATTTGTCAAATAATGTGTTTTGTCTTCTTTTGTGGTGTTTTAAAATTTAAACTTATAGTTTCCAGTCTCCCTTTTTTAAGCAACTCTCATGCCTTTCTAAACATGTTTGCTTCTTTTCTTCCCTTTGTGATTTCCCTATCATAAGTAAGTTGTGTTTTGAATTTGCAGACACAGATCCTCTAGTCTTCCAAACTGTCACCTCCCCACTTCCAAAATGGCAGCAATACCCACTACCCTGACATCTGCAGGGGACTGTAATTAATTAGGGTAAGACTTTATTTGTAAGAATCACTCTGACCCTGCCCCTCCCATTCCTCAGGCCAGATCACAGTCATGGCTGTAGTGTCTTCCCTCCTGGTAGGCTACTCACCAGGAAAGCTATCCAGGGGTAGGTGAGCATCTGTGTGATGGCCTGTGCAAACCAGGACTCCATCAAAGACATCCACCTGCTTTTTCCCTCCACACTCAGTGACCACCTCCCATTGTCCTGAAGTAGAGAAATCAGGTTGCTTCTTCACGCTGCACACTGTGGTCTAAAAAGTGACAGGGAACTGTAACTGCGGCCTATAGAGTACATGTCCTCCCTGACACAACTGCCTGCAGAATAGCACTCAAGGGGCTGTCATAGGCACCATCACTTACAGGGCTCTGGAGGGCATATTTGATTCATATGCTCCATGGATAGCAAAGGCTACAAAATTGAGGAGGCAATCTAATGCATTGTGTCCTCTGCTCCTGGAACAAGTATAAATTGCTAGGTCTCTTGGTCTGTGCCCTAAAACTCTGCAGTGCCTGAGTAAAACCGGGGCTTCTCCCGGGCATTAGTGACATATGCACTAATGACCTCCTCCATCCCTTGATAACCCCACCCACCCCACTCCACCCATGTCCTCTTAGCCTAACCCTGTTTGCAGTGGCTGGCCTTAAACATATGACCCACATACAGGTCTGCCTTTCCAGTGGGCATAGAACACCACCCCAGTGGCCCTCGCTTTATGCAATGGAGTCTTTATCTGCTTTCTGTAGCTGTTCATTTTACAGGCGACTCTGAAGAGCCAGTGAGATGGGGTAATTGGTGTCATAAATTTTAGCTTTGTAAAATAAATACGAGTTACTCTGCACAGCATAACTACCAAGATGTGTTCTGATGTGCTCCTGGAGCTTTGGCCATAATGCCTCAGTGGACTGAGAGATCCCACACAAAGTTCTCTCTGCTTGGATCACACTTTGGTTCCTTCTTCTCTTGGCAGATTGCTATTCATCCTTCAAGACTTAGCCCAGATATAATCTGCTCTAAATCAACCTACCCGAAGCCTGGTACGTCATGTCCCACCTCTCTCTGGACAGCTGTGGGCAGCTCTTCTCAGCATGGGCCTCTTGATTTTTATTGGTTCTCTATATAATACATTCTTTTCTGTCTTTTTTTTTTTTTTTTTTTTTTTTTGGTCTGTATTTTTAGTGCTTGGCACAGTGCCAAGCTTATTTGAGAGGTGTCTCTCTTAAACAAAGAACAATCCACGGGCTGCAAATGTCTGGCTTTGGAAGTTGTTGTTGAATGTTACCTTGGGCACTATTTAGCAGAATAGTCAGGAGACAGTTTGGGATTTTGCCAGATGTCATAAATATGTGTTATTTTATAATTGTGATTACAAATATAGAAACGTGACAGAAACTTCACAGAAAGAAGGAACCAGAAACCACCTGGGATAATTATGTTGCTTTATAGACAAGAAAATTTATAGAAATTGAAGGTCAGGAACTCATTTGTCCAAGAGCGCAAGCTAATCTGTGGTATAGCAAGGATCATAATTCAAGGCATCTTTGGACAGAATAAACACATGTCTGTTTCAAGCCAGTCTTGGCACATAACACACGTAAAACAAGCTTCATTATTCATTGACCCAATGACAAATTTCAAACAGGAAGCAAACAATATTCCTTACCTTGAATTTGATGTATTTCAGAAGGTTGAACTCTTTAGCATACATCCTGAAGTACTCCAGGACCTGGGAGTTGTGCATGAAGTTGGGGAAATGGTCTGGGATGAGGTAGTCACTGAAGCACATCATTTCCTTAGAAGTGTTGATGATTACGGATTTGTAAATACTGGCCCGTCCTTCTTCAGGGTTTTCCTGTGGCGAATAAGAAGTATCTATGCTGACCTGAAAATCGTGATTTGTAAGTAGCCAAGGAGCATTTAAAAAGTTATCTGAGTGAAATGTATTTCAACCAACCAACACACACACACACACACACACACACACACACACACACACACACACACCCTTCCACATCCCCCAATATCTGTCTTCCCTGTGGTCATTTCTTTGCTCTTGAAACTGAATTGTCTTCCTTTTAAGCAGACGCTTACAGTTGACACGACACTGAGTACCTTGCAAGACCAAATCATAAGTAGTCTTGCAGTACACTTAGAAAGCTCACTCTGGTGGGAGCCAAAACCCATAGAAGCAATCTAGCTATCCTGAGACCACTGTACTGATAGGAAGCCCAACCAAGGCCCACGAAGAGAAGGAATATCTGAAGCTAAGAATTATCCCGCCAGCTCCCAGGAACTCTAGCTGTTCTAATTGTGTGAAGGGTAAGTCTCAGCTGTCCTCTGTTTACAACACGTGAGTCCTCTGTTTACAACATGTGAGTCCCAAGTGAGAACTGCCCAACTTGGTGGGTAAGTCGTGGGAGTTTTCACACACATGGCGGCACTACCAGAAAATGTGCCACGTGAAAATCCAGTTGCGCAGCTGCAGCACTTAAGAGTACTTGCTGCTCTTGCAGAGGAGCCAGGCTCAGTTCCCATCATTCATGTGGATGTCCATAAACATCTGTAATTCCAGTTTCAAAAGTCTGATGTCTTCATTTGGCCTTTGCACACAGGCGTTGCAAAGACCTACAATCAGGCAACTCCCCCCACTCTTAAAACAAAACCAAACAAACGCCAGGCTACCTGGTGCACGTTTGTAATACCAGAACAGAGGAGGTGGAAGTCTCTGGAGCTCACTAGCCTGACCAACAAGCCACAGGTTCCAGTGAGAAAATAAATACTTAAAAGTAAAGGGGAGTGACTTCCATTTGCATGTACAAACGTGTACATATACACATAAAAATGTGCACAAACATGCATGCATACACAAAGCCCTACAAACTGAAACCTATGTAAGAACATTGAAAGTGACCTGCTATAACTTTAAGAGAAAAAGTATTATGTGCCATGAAATTAAATGTACATCCTAATTATCTATCTATCTATTCTGTTTATATATTGTATATTGTACCTTTTGAGTACAATAAGCTGAGCCAAAGAATCCTGAAATTCTATGTTAGCCTAAACTACATTATATATTTGAGGCCATCCTGGGCTACAGGGAAAGACCCTCAAAAAAAAAATAAACAAGTAAGTAGACCACCTGTATACAAGAAATGAACAATTGGGATTTTTTAATTTTAAAAATATACCATTCACAAGAACCTCCCCCTATTAAATACTTAGGCATAGGTCTAACAAAAGATGTGTAGTAGAATATGAATAAACCACAAAACAAAGCTAGAGAAAAATCAAAGATTGAAATAAATGAAAGCTGTCATCTTCATGGATTGCAAGAATCAATACTGTTAAGATGCCTGCTCTTCCTGACTTGGCCTGAAGACACAGTGTGGTTCTGGCAGCAACCTAGTAACCACTATATTGCTATCAGCAAATGGATTCTAAAGACTCCTAGAAATAGCCAAGAGGGTTAGGTGTAGCTGACCAGAGTAACTTTCTTCTGAAGACAGAAAAGGGGGTAAACTTTGAAGAAACCTAGCCTGACACACTCTGCTACAAGTTAGGACACGAAGGTTAGTGCAAACAGTGCCAGGTCATAACAAGAAAGATTGTCCTTGGCATGATACACTGAGATCAGGATTTCACCTCCAGGACTGTCCTTCCCAAACTGAGGAACCTCAGGCTAGCCATGAGAAATACATCAGACACATTCCAAGGAGGATATTCTACAAAATACCCAACCAGTCATCCTCAAGGATATCAGAGGAGACCGGGCGTGTTCAGGGTGGTATGGCCGTAGACTGGCCAAGGATAGCAAAACCAAGAAAATAAAAACAATGAAGAAAGGAAGACTAAGAAATAAATCATCATAGCCAAAAGGGATCTGGAAAGACACAACAATCAAATATTATAGGGACCCTGGAATAGAAACAAAACAAAAAACAAACAAAGCCAGCATCAGGAAAAACTAAATAAACCTAAGTGAAGCATGTTTATGGGTAATGGTCCACAGATCCTGAAAAACGTGTCACATCAGTGTAAGATGCTAACCATAGGGGAACTAGGCAAGGTCACAAGTGCTGAGGTCACAGGTGTGAGCTACCATGCTTTAAGAAAACTTATAAAATTAGCATCAGAAAGTATTAATCTATAACATGAAGGAGGCAATACTAGTTTTGCAACTTAAACAGAAAAAGAAGAGAGACAGAGAGACACAAATGGCAGTATCTGAAAGTATATTTATGTGACAGATGAAACAATGAGGAATAGGAACATGCAAGCGGTAGCATCTGAGAAGGAAAAAAAAAAAAAAAAAAAAACAAACACCCAAATCCTAAGGACTAGTCACTAAAAAGGGAACCCCAGTGTTTTTATAACTGGAAATTTGTTAGTTTATCTCAACTCACAGAAATCTGCCTGCCTCTACCTCCTGAGTGCTGAGATAAAGGCATTGTGCCTGGCTTAGGCACCGATTTAAGCATAAGTATATTGGGAAGCTAATACATCACAGGAATCCTGAGTGGCTCTAGAATGTAATGCCCAGCGGTGAACGCAGGGCTGTTCTGATAGAAGCCAGGGCATAATGACGAAACATAGCTTACTGATTTTCATAAGGTGGTGAAATTCTGCCAAGAGGACAATCCGAAAATAAATCTCATTAGATCTTTAGAAGATAATCATTTCAAGCCACTTCAGCAATAAAAATCACAAACCTGATATTCTGGCATGTGTTGGTTTCATGCTTGTCTGGAAATTATTAACCCTGGCTCTAATGCTTAGTGGAGATACTAAGTGTCAGGTCCCAGTCTAGGCCTACTGGCATGCTGCACCTTGCACCCAGCACTGTCAGAAATGGTCAGGACACTTACTCAGTCACTTCCTGCTTGCAATAACTTTGTAAAGTTGGCACATGTGAGCTCTTTCTTGTGGAAACAACAGACATGGGAGAAGTTAAGTGATTTTCCCAAAGCCACATTCTTTCTAGATGATAGACCAAGGCTTTGAAGCTAAAATTGTGTTCTTAACCCCTACCATGTGTTCTGACTAGATTTTAAGAATAGACCTTTCTGTTGATTACAAACAAATAAACAAACAAATCCCAATTAACAAGCTTTTCAGCTCATGCCCAGGCTGATAAAGGAATGGGGGTCTCCTAATGGGATCCTTCTCCCGTTGAATAAGGACCAGTGTCAGAGTGGATTCTCTCTGTTTAGAGCCATGGCACAGGGCTGCATTTCTGTCCAACTGTGGAGTGGCTTACAGCTACTTCTAAGGAGGTGGCTGGCACTGCTAGATTTTATGAAAAATGAAACACACTCATGGCCCTTCAATACTATTCAGAAAGTGAGTTCAAGGTGCGAGCTCAGTGCATGCCAGTTTGGAAAATCAGTGAGGGCGGGTGATATTTAATAATAAGCACAACTCTGACTCCAGCAAGAAGCGTTTTCTTTGGTTTTGTTTGAGACATGGTCTCACTACAAAGCCCTAGCTTGTCTTGAACTCACTCTGTAGACCAGTCAAAGGGATCTGACTGCCTCTGCCTCCCTAGTGCTGCAATCAAAGGCATCCAGCACTGTACCCAGCTATTATTTTCAACTAACAACTTGTCCGGCTGTATATTCATAGGGTTCAAATGAAACATAGAGGGAGCAAAGGCCAAGGAATTTGAACTTCTCTTCTTAAGGGAAGGAAAAACAAGGCAATCTTCTTTTTTTTCCAAGACAGGGTTTCTCTGTAAAGCCATGGCTGGTCTGTGAGAAGGAGTATGTATGCTGTGTGTGTGTGTGTACATGTTCTCTCTCTCTCTCTCTCTCTCTCTCTCTCTCTCTCTGTCTCTCTCTCTGTGTGTGTGTGTGTGTGTGTGTGTGTGTGTGTGTGTGTGTGTGTCTGTCTGTCTGTCTGTCTGTCTCACATGCTCACAGTATATGTAGAGGCCAAAGGTCAATGTTGAATGTTCTTAGTTGCATTCCACCTTGTGTATTTGAGACAGGGTATTTTACTGAGCCTGGAGCCTGGCTTGCTGGGTAGCCCCTAAGCCTCATGAATCCTATCTCTGAGCCCCCATAGTTGGGATTACAAGGGCTTGCTGCTTCGTTAGGCTTCTTTCTTTCCCTTCCTTCCTCCCTCCCTCCCTCCCTCCCTCCCTCCCTTCCTCTCTTCATCCCTCCCTCGATCTTCATGTGAGTGCTGGGATGGAACTTAGGGCCTCCAGCAGTAAGCCCTTAGCATTTTCTAGAAAAGCAATCTCCCCAGCCCCAGGATTTTTTTTTTTTAAAGATTTCTTTCTTTTTATTTTTTTATATGTGAGTGTTTTGCCTGCCTGCATGTTTGTGTACTATGTTCACACCGGTGTCTGAGGAAATCAGAAGAGGGTATCAGGTCCCCTGAAGCTGGTCTTAGGTGCTTGCAGGACGTCATACAGGCTCAGAGCAAGGGCTCCTACATACTGCCTGCACCATTAATTTCTTCAGCCCCATCCTGGGAACGGCTTTTAATAGAAAACAAGACTGAAGGAATTGCAAGCAGAGGCTTGGCTCACGATCTATATTGTCATGGACCGGGACAAGCAGGGAACTTCCCATGTTTGCTACTTCTTCACTTCCCAGATTGTTCCACGTTTTTGAACGGCAGGGAAGTTCAGAAGCACACAAGCAAACAAAACCCTTTTCATGGCAACAGGAAAAGGAAAATAAGTGACAAATGTGTTGCATTTTGCAACCAGCCCAGAGAAAGGAACTGAACTAAAATCTGAGGTGACAGCAGCCAGGGTGGAATTCAGTCACGGCCTTGCTCTTCCTCATTCCGTGAACGGGATAATAAGAGTCACACAGGAGTTGCAAGGAGTCCTTCAGCTATAGGGGCTCAGAAGATTTACCTGGAACCTCCACAGTCCTCCGATGTCATCAGACCTTTCAAAGCAGACAGGTTCCAAGCCTTCTTCCAGACAAGTCTTGATGCAAGAGAGACCACTTGCTCCTGACCCAATTACAGCGATCCTTTTCTTGGTCATGGTGCTTCTTCACCAGCTGGCTCAGCGTCACTTGTCCTACAGAAAGAATGACAAGAGAGAGTGAACACACATCAGGCAATGGCACGCGAATAAATATAACAAGAGGTGTGTCTGAGGGCCAGGAAGTGGGTTCTGGGGGCGGGGGAAGGTACCTGCTCAGGGCACGGGGCTTCACTCCCAAGAGAAAAGCAGCGTCTCAGCTAAACACAGCAGTGACCAATGGGGAGCGGCTGTGCTGTCCCAACTCCTATCCCGCCCTCCCGAGGGCGTGCACCCTTCCTTCGCAAACCAAAACAGCTCAACACGCTTTGGGAAGAAATGAAAACAATAGTACTGTATGTTTTAATATACTGCTTTTGAGCAGCCCCGCATAGGGAGAGCGGCCCTCCATCTCCATCCCTTCCCACTTTTCTTTCTGTGTTGATTTACAACTTCCTGCTTTTTGTCTTAAAGTGATAAAGGCTCGCTGGACTTCAGAAGCTTCTGAAGAAAAAGAAGAAAGTTTACTTCCTAGAGTCCCTACAAACAGGTGCTTTGTCCTCCCCATCTCAGAGATCAGCTGATATTGACCCGCTACTACAGTAGAATTTAAGATTGCAGTGAGCTGAGCTGATGGCTCGGGGTGGGGGTTGCGGTGTGAGGGGTGGGCAGGAGCTTCTAGGCCAGTGCCCGAGATCAAACCATACTCACATAATTTCAATTACATGCATGCCTTTTTATTTTAAAGCGATTTCTCTTCCAAAACTTCCATTTTGAAATTTCAAGTGTAAAATCAGGTAAAACTGCCAATAAAATGGTTGTAGGATTTCACACACTGGAACAGCATGTATATAGCCCAGGGGTGTAGTTCAGATGTACAAGTTCATAGTCAGCACAAACCATGTCTGAAGCCCTGAGCCATGAATGGCCTTGTGTAATACTACTCCTTGTGTTGACTTTGCTCAAAATGGTTTGGTGCCAACCAATGCCTGTCCTTGGTTCCGATTTATTGTATCTCCCTTCCAGGTCAATGGTCAACAGTTCTCAAGGGTTTACCATACATGGCTCAACTGGCCTAAAGGAAGTCAGTCATGTAATCATCTCAGCAAACCCAAGCAGCAGGTACTGTGATCACTTCCAGTGTTCCATAGGCAAACAGGCTAAGTAACCTGGAGAAGACGAGAAGAGAGGAAGGGAGGCCAGCAACGCAATCCAGGCAGCCTGGCTCTGGCAGGGGCTCTCAACCTTCACACACACTGCCCTTGATGTGGTTATTTTAGCTTCTTATTTACCAACAAGCCCTTCTGCCTTTTCCTTTACCTAATGCCTTTGTATGTTACTTGTTAGTTCAACTGCCCATTTATTTATTTATTTATTTATTTATTTATTTATTTATTTATTTATTTATTTTGGTTTTTCGAGACAGGGTTTCTCTGTGGCTTTGGAGGCTGTCCTGGAACTAGCTCTTGTAGACCAGGCTGGTCTCAAACTCACAGAGATCTGCCTGCCTCTGCCTCCTGAGCTGGAATTAAAGGCATGTGCCACCACCGCCCTGCTTCAACTGCTTTTTTAAAAACTTGACTGTTACATGATTTATTTTAACTAATTTCAGATGAACTTAGAAAATAAGTCATTGACTTGGAGAATCATTTTGCTGCCTCAGGAAGCCTTCTGCTAAGCGTGTGGTCTAAATCACATGGAAACACAGCAAACGCGCATGGGGGTGGGGATGGAGCCTCCAAGCCTGCTGGATAGAATGATCAGCGTGGGGTTTGCCCCTCATTGCATCCTCTCTGGAAATGCTCTCACAGACATTCTCAAAGTTGTACCCACCAATCTCCTAGGTGATTCTAAAGCCAGTCAAGCTGACAATGACGATTAACCATAATGATTGTGTTCATATTTTCTGTTGAGGTCAAAGCAAGAGCTTTACCAGAGTGAAATTTTTAAATATTTACGTTTATTTTAGGAGTATGAGTGTTCTGACTGCATATATGTGTGTGCAGAATGTACATGCCTAATGTCCACAGAGGCCAGAAGACTATGTCTTATCTTCTGGAGCTGGAGTTCCAGATGGTCATGAGCTGCTATTTGGTTGCTGGGAATTGAACCCAGGTCTTCTGAAAGAGCAGCCAATGCCCCTAGCTGCTGAGTCATCTCTCTCTGGATCCTATTATATGCTCGTATTTTTTCCTAATTCTTTTTGCCAAGTGTGCATTTTGCTTACGTTCATTCAATAACTACCCCCTCCTGTAAGGAATAGGGTTTTTCCTCCCGCCGCTGGTCTGGTCCCGCCGCGTCAGCCCCAATTAACACACAGAGATTCTGTATATGATATAATTCTGTTGGCCCGTTACTAGTTTCTTATCAGCTAGCTCTGTCTTAAGTATTAACCCAATTCTGCTGATCTATGTATTTTCACGTGGTCTTTTCTTACCGGGGAGTGGGGCAGTCATCTGGTCTCCCCAGTCTCTCCATCTTGGCTCCTCTTTCCTACTTCCTCTCTCCTTGTCTCCTAATCCCTCCTATCTCCTTTCCTATTGGCCAACAATGCTTTATTCATTAACCAGTATGAGAACATATACAGAATGACATCTCCCATCACCCTCCCCTTTGGAGGCCATGTCTTTTAAGGTGGTGGCTGTGCAAAGTGGAATTGATGCTTTAGAGCCTTGACTGAAGGCTGGCTGCTGAAGTCAGCTGCTTCACAAACACTGATTATGATATGATTGGACTTAACATTGGGAAACTCATTTTTTAGAGGAGTAAACAGTCACAGGTAGTTCAGGTGTCACATGTACATAAGGCAATACATATCCCATGCCCAATGTGTTATAGGTACTTGGTTCCACAGAAAAGGGGGAGGGACACAGGAAGATACACTGTGGTAGGCTGAAAACATGATCCGAAAAGGTGTCCACATCCCAGGCCTCCACAACCTGAATGTTTCCTTATATGACAAACCAACAAACACAAACCCTAACCCCCAAAAAACAAAAACCCCAAACAAACAAACAAACAAAAAACCCCATCACTACTGTGAGTAAGCTAAGTGCTTGAGGTGGGGAGATTATCTTGACCAACCAAAGTAGTTTCCCTACAAGGACAAAGATGCATTTTTTTTTTTTTTTTTTTTTGAGACGAGGTTTCTCTGTGTAGCTATGTAGCCAGCCAAAGGTTCACCTGCCTCTATGAGTGCTGGGATTAAAGGTCACCGCCTGGCTCAAGGATGCTTTTAAGAAGAAGAAGAAGAATGGGAGATGTTTGGCAGGAGAACCAGAAAACCATGTGAACAATGGAAGCAGGATGCTATGCTACTGGCTTTGAAGATACAGAAAAGTTGTAGGAACCAAAGCAATGTGGAAGCTGGAACAAGCCAGGAAATGTACCCGTCTTATAGTCACTGACAAAGAATCCAGTCCCCAAGATGCTGGCCAAGGTAATAACATGTTTTAAGTTTTCAAGAACAATAGGATGACCACGGTAGGTGTTCATAAAATTAAAAACAAAACCCAAAGTGAATTGAATAACTCCAAAACAGGCTCAATAAAGAGACAGAGGGGCTGGCATGAGAGCACTGGCAAACATTAATACACATAAAAAGTAAATCTTGTCTTTTGAAAAAGAGGCAGGGTATAAAAGCAACTGTTTTGCATGGTCTGGAGAACGATTTATGATAGTCAAAAAAAGAATAAATAATGAGAGACAGATAAATAGTAAAACACCATCAACGTGGGTGCCCAAAATACCTGACAGAAACCAACTGGGAAAGATCTGCCAAGGCAGCCAGCTGGAGTTTCCAGCTGAGAGTTCAAAGGGTTCCCAGTGAGACTTCCAAAAGAACAAATAGAGATAACATTATTAAATTGGATGCTTGCAACATCTAGTAGAATCAAAATGAGGAATCCGAGGCTGGAATTTTTGATTGAAGTTTCTTTCTGATGGATGAGTATTTTATGGTTGAACTTTTCATTTTTTAAATATATTTTAGGTTTTTGTTTTTCCATGTTGTGTGGTGTGCATAGCTGTGTGTGTGTGTGTGTGTGTGTGTGTGTGTGTGTGTGTGTGTGTGTGTGCTGGCACTTGGGTGGGTGTGGATATGGAGTGGGAGCAGTTGGTCTGATTAATACCAGAGGAACTGGAGTTGGGCAGCCGGGGAGTCAAGGCAGAAGAGCACTTGAGTGTAATTAGCACAACAAGGCATATTTTATTACGACAATTACTTTGATAACAGAGTTAGGAGCTAACAGTTCAGCAGAGAAGAGATGATGGGGGATGTCCTTCTGTATACGGTGAATATGTGTTTCTCTTATTGGTTGATGAATAAAGCTGTTTCAGCCAATGGAAAGGCAGGATGTAGCCAGGCAGGAAGTACAGGCGAGGCTACCAGACTAGGAGAATTCTGGGAAGAGGAGTGCAGAGAGTGAGACTCTAAAGACATGCCATGTAGCTGTCAAGGAAGAAAGAAGCTGGGGCATCACCAGTAAGCCAAGACCAACAGGAAATACATAGATTAATAGAAATGGGTTAATAATTAAGAGAGAGCTAGCCAGTAAGAAGCCTGAGCCATCGACCTAGCAGTTTATAATTAATATAAGGCTTTGTGTGTTTATTTGGGACCGAACAGCTATAGGACAGGGCAGGACAGAAACTTCCCTCTACAGTGAAGCCTGTTTCACAGCCCAGCATGGTCACGGTTATATAAGGCACAACAACGTTATTTATCTCCCAAGAAAAAAGGCCTAAGGTACAAGAGCATCATTTGCCCTAACTACTCTCTAGAAACTGAAGGAAGGCTGCAGGCATTCCCATGTTCCTTCTTACGTTTGTGGACATTTCAAATTCCTTTCTTGAGAAATATCATCATCAGACGATCCCACGGCCATATCACAACTTCACTACTTCCTCACGTAACCTCAATTCAGAACACAGCAGTGGAGGCCTAGGGCTGAAGCTGGGACTCATGCTTGTTCACTCTTCCTTATTCAATGGGGCAGGGTCACTCAGTCAAACCAGAGTTTGCTGGTCTGACTAGTTTTGCTAGCCAGCTTGCTCTGGGCATCCCATCTCTGCTTTTTGTGAATGAACTACAGGCAGACCATCATTCCCACCTGGCATTTTACATGGTTTCTAGTCC